GGGAAACATGTATTTTACACTCTCCTCTGCCGAATGGAGCCGCAGGGCCTGCAGAACATGGATTCAGTGATGTGACCTGCCCGTGTGTCTCTGGGGGAGAGGTCACCACCACTGCCCACTCGACCACTACCCAGCTTCCCTATCTCACTCCACATTGCCATGAGCTCACTTGGGATCCCCAATATTTGGCAAGGGAAGGTTTCAAACTTCATCTAAAAGTCAACGGAACATTGACCTATGTTGGTCTAAAAACGTCTATTTTCCACAGAGTCCAAGATCAGAGATTGGTCCAACAAGGCCTTTTTGCCCCCACCACCAACCCTGGACCAGAGAACTGCTGCTATGGGCCGCGTCCCCCCAGATGTTCTCTCTTCTTCAGCACAGGTGCTCTGCCCAGGGGAGGCCCTGCCTCAGCACAGTGACTAGGAGCCTCATATGGACTACTTGGGGAATCCAGCTGCAGGTGGGGGGTGGGGACGGTGTGAGGAAGAGAACTCCACAGACCAGCACAGATTCTGGGGCTTCCTCTGTGGAAATTTACACACTACAACACCCCCGCCCCTCCAGGACCTGGCCCTGAGTCTGCCCCCACGTGTCAGCAACCTAACCCCCAAGCTCCATTCTTGGTCTTGTTTCCTGACTGTTAAGGAAACTGGCCCGTTAAAGGAACACACACCTCCATCACTGTTTGTTCCCAGACTCTTGTGATTTCCTCGCAGACCACCACGCTGTTGCAGGCATGCTCCAGCCCTCCCCCAAGGTTCTCCAGCGCCACCCACCTGGGTCCGGTGCTTACGCCAACCGTGCGGGCTGTGAATTCCGAAGAGCCGCCCCAAAGCTGACGGAACTCGGAGCAGCTCGAGTCAACGCCCTGTGGCCCAGAGACACAGCGATCCTAGTCCAGTGCCTAGACTCACAAGCAGGAACAGAGACACTCCTGTCATCAGCACTTCGTGACACCACCCAAGTCCTACCGCAGGGCTGGAAGTCACCCCGAGGAAAGGTCATCGCTTTTCCATTTCAAAACTGAGGAATGTAGACACAGTCATCCCTTTCTTCAGCACATGGCGTCACCCCCAAAGAAAGGCAACCGTGAAAGAATGTGTATCCAATAAAATTTCCTGAACCAACTAACTCTGATATTAAAAAAAAGAAAAAATGAACAAACACCTAAGTAAAGCTTTTTCCCACAGCATCCAGGATGCACTTTCCATCTGAGGGGCTGGGGTGGAACTCTAGCTTTCTGCGTCCAGCTGGGGAATTTGGGGGAAAGGAAAGTCAGACAGCTTCAAACCCAGATTTGCTCAGCTGCAATGCAAAGACAATGACTTTCTCCTTTTCTTTCTTTTCTTTCTTTCTTTCTTTCTTTCTTTCTTTCTTTCTTTTTTTTTTAATTCTCACCTGAGGACATTTTTGCGTTTATCTTCAGATAGAGAGGGAGGAAGGAGAGAAACATCGATGCAAGAGAGACACATCGACTGGTTGCCACCCACACGACCCTAACCAAGGCCGGGGACAAACTGCAACCGAGGTACGTGCCCTTAGCGAGAACTGAACCTGGGACTCTCTGGTCTGCGGGCCGACGCTCTAACCGCTGAGCCAAACCGGCCAGGGCGACAATGACTTTCTTATTGGGTTGTTGTAAGAAGAGACTGAAAACTCTTTGTCAACTGTAAAGGGACATTGGCATATTATTTATTATTATTTTATTCTCTGTCTTCCCCAGTCCCAGACTCTTAGATGATCTCACCTCCTATTTCTCAAAGAAAATAGCTGCCCTCAGACAGGAATCCCGTCTTCCTGACGCCAGGTGCGTAGCCGACTGGCATCTGCTTCATCCTTCTTTCTGTTAGAAGAACGTGTGTGTGAGTGATTTTTAAACAAACATTTATATACTATAACTCTTATATTATAATCAGCTTTTAAAACAAATGTTACAATATATCATGAATAATTTTCTGTCAACAAATAGTTATAAAATACTATTTTTTTCTTTATTAATTTTAAAGAGAGAGGAAGGGAGAGGGAGAGAGAGATGGAAACATCGATGAGAGAGAACATCAACTGGCTGCCTCTTACATGCCCCCCACTGGGGATCAGGCCCACAACCTGGACATGTGCCTGGACCAGGAATCGAACCAGCGACTTCTTGGTGCATGGGTCGACGCTCAACCACAGAGCCACACCGGGCAGGCTAAAATACTATTAATGGCTCCATAGAATTCTATGATAGAAATATATTATAATTTATTTAATTAATCCCCAGGTTTGAACATGTGGCTTGTGTATTTCCTTATTACGTAAATAGTGCTCTGATGGATGCTGTAGATGAAATCTTTGTCCACATTATTTTTATTCCCTTAGGATATTTCTATAAATGGAACAGCTGTGTCACAACTTAGTCCCAACAACAACAACATCAATGCATATTTTAAAGATTTGTTTTTTTCATCAGTGCTGTCAAATTGTCCTTCAGCAAGGTTGTTCCTGTTCATATAAAAACTGAAATCTTTGACCTTGACTCAGAAGAGGGGAAAGAGACTGGGAGAAGGCCTCCAAATGGTGAGGAGTAAGAATCCTGCACAAGCATCTGGCCAGGTTGTGCCTAAGATATTCTACTTTTATATGTGCAATATATATCTATACCTATACCTATATCTGTATCTATATATAAATCTGTTTCTATATATAAATCGATATATCTATATTTATATCTATATCTATATCTTTAAGGCAGAATGTGGGATGGGACTGAGTCTTCAAGACCTGGAATCCCTTGTGTTGACCTTGATTTAAATCATTTGGATAAATTCCGCTTCATAAGGCTGTGCTGAGAGGACGGTGGGAGGGGTTTGTATTCATGTTTGGACCAGAGTGATAGTGGGAATAGTGGAATCAGAGCACCCCAAGGGGAGAGCAATGTCAGGAAGGCCTGAGCTACACTGGCCACGTGGCCCATTGTCCCGGGCCTGGAGACACCCCGGGCAGAGCTTTCTGGGCTCCAACCACAAGGGTTGGGGTGGCACTGTTGTAGTAATCGATGTTGTTTCTTTTCTTTTTACCATTTTCCTTTACAGCTAGACAATATATTTCAGAGGGGCAGAATCCTGATACTTCTTTTATATAACAAACAATAGTAGATATGGGAAAAATGCTTCCTAATTCTCTCCACTGTCAAAAGAAGGTATCAGCCCGCTGGTGTGGCTCAGTGGTTGAGTGACGACCCATGTACCAGGAGGTGGCCCATTCGATTCCCTGTCAGGGCACATGCCCAGGTTGTGGGCCTGATCCCCAATGGGGGGCATGCAGGAGGCAGCCAATCGATGTTCTCTCTCATTGATGTTTCTATCTGCCTCTCCCTCTCCCTTCCTCTAAAATCAAAAGAAAAATAATGTTTTAAAAAGAAAAAAAGAAGCTATCATTTCCTGCCACAAATTATACCAGACAATTAAATTCTAAGTAGATCTACAACAGACTATTCTGGCTTCTCTCTCATTTTTTTAATAGATGCAGATTTGGCTAATTTCTTCATGCACAGAGACCAAAGATCAGTTCTCTACATAATCCAATCTCCCAGATCTGCAATTAGATTTTTAGCATCATCTCCCATCTCTCCCATGTGGGGTTTCACCAAATGTAATGGTTATTACCCTGAAGTTTAGCTCTCCATCCATAACCTTAAAGGTTAAAATTTGCATCCATAAGACCTGGCCTCTCTCCCTGTTGCATGCCCACACCAGAGATTACTCCCTGTTCAACCTCAGGAGGGACATGCAGGAAGGTGGGGAGCAAACAGACCCTGGCTTAGGTTATTGGTGCTAAAACTCTGCCTTCCCCCACGTTGGGTTTTCTGGGTACTGCTTAGACAATCTCCTTGCCCTTTGTCATGTGACTTTTCTGGACTTCAGTTCTTGCCTGCTGTAAATATCTGCCCACTTGACCCTTGCCACTTGGATTTCTCTCTCTCTCTCTCTCTCTCTCTCTCTCTCTCTCTCAATCTCTTACCCAGGAGGCCCTTGGCACCTACCTGACCCTTTCCATTAGCCAGAGGGCCATCCTCCCTCTCTTGGTTTTGACTGCTTCCTGACATCCATCCTTTCACTTGTGAGAGAAAACAAAGGCTCAGAAAAGTTAAACTGGATTTCAAACTGTGTCTTCTAGCCAGCCTCCGGTCCTGACATTTTTATTTCACTCCGGGTGGGATTGAATTCGCTTCCTTCTGCTCCCGCATCCCCAGTCAGGCGTGGCGTTGGAAGATCTGCACCGCACGTCCGTCCCCACACCCATCCCCGACTGTCCCGCGAGCGCTGAGCCGGGGAAGTCGAATGCACGGTGCACTTGCAAAGACTTCGCGATCTGTTTGGGTGGGCAGACCGTGCCCTGGAAACGCAGAGCATCCTGAACTGGGTCCAGCCGCGCCAGCCCGGGGAGAAAGCAAGTGTTTGCGAAATTTGTCCGCCAAGGCCCTGCATCCAGACTTTATTCTCACCTCCACCCCACTTTCTCTATGAGCGTCCCCAACCCCGACCCTGAAATTTAATCCACCAGAACGGGAGGGTGGGCCTGGGACTCTTTACCGAGTTCCTGGGACCCCGGGCGGGCATTCCCCGGGACTGCACCGGCCCCCGGGAGCCGGCCGAGCCGGACCGGCGGGGAGCCCCAGGTGAGGCTGGGGAAGGGCAGGAAGAGGGAGCGGCAGAGGCCCGCCGGCAGCCCGGCCCCCGAGGGAGGGCCGCGAGGTGCGCGGGGAGCGCGGCGCGGGTCCGGGCTGGGGGAGGTGCTCGGCGCAGCCAATCCCCGGGCCACCCCCTCCCAGGCCGCGAGCAGAGCCGGGGCGGGGGAGCCAGGCGGCGGCGGCGGCGGCGGCGGCGACGGCGGCTGCCGCGGGGAGGGATGGAGAGGGGCGGGGGAGCGGAGCCGAGCGGAGACAGCCGCGGCGCTGCAGAGAGGCTGGGGCGGCGGCGCGGCTCCCGGTGCTCCCCCCGCGCCCGCCGCGCTTGGCGAGGGTCCGGCCCCGGAGGCCCGCGCCATGGGCTGCATCGGCTCCCGGACCGTGGGTGGGTACCGCGGCGGGGCGGGCACGGGCGTCGGCTGGCTCTCTGGGTCCGGTCCTCTGGCCCCTCCCCCACCCTCTCCGCGCCCCTCCGGGTACCTCGCTCCGCGCCCTGCCGGCCTGGCTGCCTCACTTTCCCTCCGCTCCTCTCCTCCCCGCTCTTCTCGCGCGTCCCCGGGGCGAGCATCCCTCTCGGCCCTCGGCGTTCTCTCCGGCTCCCTTCCATACCTCCCCCAGGCGCGGTCCCTCTCCATCATCTCTCCGTCAGCCTCTTCTGTCTCCTCGTCGCTCTCCCCTCCTCTCTACTCCCTCACCCACCAGCTCCAGGCCATCCACCTCCACTCTGCCTTCCCCAGCCCCCGCGCCCCCATCTCCCTTTCGGGAGCAGCCCTCAGCACCGTCTCAGCCCGCTTTTCCGCACGCTCCCCCACCCCCGTCTCCATCTGGCTTGGGTGTTTTGCCCCCATCTCTTTCCCTCTCCGTTGCCTTTTTCTGTCGTTCCTGCCTCCCCGGATTTGCTTTGTTCACGTGCATTTTCCCTCTGGGGCGGGGGCGGGATGCGCCTCGGGATGGGAACCGGGACCCGCCGGGCTCTTGGAGGGTGGGGTGTTAGAGCCGGTGGACGCGGGAGGAGGCAGGGACCACGAAGGGTCAGAAGCCAGCTCCCAGCAGGGTGGGGCCGGCCAGGGGAGGATCCCCGGACTGGACAGCACCTGTCAGCGGGGGGGGGGGGGGGGGGGGGGGCGGGGCCCGCCCTTTATTTACCTTTTACTGGAGAAGACAGGCACTTTCTTTGTCGTCCAACCCCCTCAACCTTTGCCTTGCTACCACCCCCTAGCCCCCCACACCCTGCACACTCCACTGCCCTCTCCCCAACCCCCCAATTTTTCACATTCCTATTCCCCATGTATCCTGCCTACACGCCCCAGTGACCTCAGGCTGAGAGAATAATTCGTATTATTATTACAAACACACTGTCCGGAAGCCTGATTTCTCTGAGACCTGATTTATTTCCATGGATACCCCCGCCTCCTCTGCCTTCACCTCTTCTCCGGGTTTTCTCCCTCCCCCTCCCTGCCCCCCACAGCTCTGACTCAGCTCTCCCTCTCTACAAAGGCCACCCCCCTCCCCTGTCTCCCACTCTGCCTGCCCCTTCTCCCTTCTCAGAGATCGGTTTCTGCCCGCCCCATTCCCCATTCCCGTGCTCTCTGCCCAGATGCCCATCTGTCCCCCCCTCCCCAGGCCACTGCCTCTGGTCTGACCCATCTCTCCACTCCCCTGCAGCCCCAAAGGATAGTGGCCCACTTTGGAGAGGTCCTACCTCCTTGAGACCCCTTAACTAGAAGCCTTGCCTTTAGCACCAGCTAAGCACTTCATGCTGAATGCCTCCTTCAAGACCCCACTCAATTTACTTTCTCTCAAGAGTGGACTCCTAGCCCAACATTCAGGATCATAAAACTTCATGTGGAAAAAGGATCCATAAGGTCAGATGGTTCACAGCCATCTGACTTGCGTCTCTGTAACTCCCAAGCGGGGCTTCAAGCCTGCCCTCAGTCTCCATCTCCTTTCTCCAGGAGCTCCAGCCTCACCTTGGCAATCACCATCCTTCTCCCCCCAGGCCCTCAAACCCCTCCTATCTTCTCGCCTTCTCTTTGACCTGAATTCCTATTCTTTTGATTCCTGTTTTTAAAAGTCCCCTTCTCTCCTCCTGTGGTCCCCTGACACTCCTCTTTAATCCATCACTTACCTCTCGACAGTCAGGTAAAACGGTGCCATCCCACACCTGGTTTTCTCTGTCCTCACTGTTTCTGGGTGAACACACCCAACTCCTGCCTCTACCCCCTCCAGATCCTTCCCGTCAGACAAGTTCACCAACTCCTAGGAGGGTCCCCTACATTCTTCACACCTCCCAAATAATAAAGCCTGCCCATAGCGAAGCTAACCCTTAGAGAAGCCCCACCCTTATTTGTAAAAAACTGATGGGTGAAAGCATAGCTCCCATGTATTCTTAGTTCAGTTCAAACTAAATATTTGGGCTCAGTATTACAATTTCTTCTACGGGAAATATGGGGAGAGTAGGGGTGTAAAAGGGATGGGCAATGGGGAGAAGGAGTGGTGTGGGGAGGGGTCTGGAGGGGACTCCTCGGTGTGTGGCCTCAGCATCTGAGACCTGGAGGGGCCTTTTGGGTGGGGCGCAGAGGGGTGAAGCAGAGCAACTAGCCCTCTGGTCACTGCAGGGAATGAGGTGATTGCAGTGGATTGGAAGGGCCTGAAGGATGTCGATCAAATCAACATGGACAGCACCAGCTCCCTGCACGGAAGCAGCCTCCACCGGCCATCCACGGAGGTGAGACCCCTGCCCAGCCGCCTTCACCAAAGAATCTCTGAAAGACTTGAAACCATCCCCAGCGAAGCCTCCCAGCTGCCTGATCCTTGAAATCTCTTCCTAAAGTCCAAGTCACCATCCCAAACACTCCTTCAAACGGACTCTCAGGGAGAACATTTCTCCTACATTCCTCAAAAGACAGATGTTCTGCACTGACATCTTAATGTCCTATTAGCTCAGGAAAGCCCTCCCTTCGCACACTTCTAGAAGTCCCTGGGGAAGCAGGTGGGGTTCCTTGCATTCCTGGAATACCCACTCCCTTTTCTGTCTCCTCAGCAAACCCGAACTGATTTCTCCTGGGATGGCATCAATGTGAGTACGGCTTCCCCCAGCCTTCCCGGGCCCAGCCTACCTGGTCTTCCTTCTATTCTCCTATAACATAGTGCTCCTCTCTCCAGCCAGCACTGCGAGCCCTCCCATGCTCTACCTACCCCCGAACGGTCCAGGGTGGTTGGAGGGTGTGGTTCCTTGGGACCCCTGAGTTTCCCTATCACCTGCCCTAGCTCTGATCCTTCATCCTGGAAACCATAAACTTCCCCTGCATGTAAAGCACCTCTCCGCCCTTTTATTCCCCTGCCCCTCCTCCACGGTCCCCCTTCCAGCTCTCCATGGAGGACACCACTTCCATTCTTCCGAAGCTTAAGAGAAACTCTAACGCCTATGGCATTGGGGCCCTGGCCAAGTCATCATTCTCAGGTAAGATTCCCTCCCTGGGGACGCATCCAGGCAGGAGATACTTACAGTCCTGGTCCCCATCTCCATGCTCCTTCCAGCCTGAAGAGGACCCTCATCCTCCTACCCCTGACTTATTTGTCCTTTCTTTTTTCTTTATTGATGTTAGAGAGAGAGGCAGGGAGAGGGAGAGAGAGACAGAAACATTGATGAGAAAGAACATCGACTGGCTGCCTCCTGCATGCACCCCCATGGGGATGGGCCCACAACCTGGGCATGTGCCCTGACCGGGAATCAAACTGGCGACCTCTTGGTGCATGGGTCGATGCTCAACCACTGAGCCACACCGGCCGGACCTGTTTGTCCTTTCTGCCAAGCCTCTCCTATCCTCTAGGCTGTCCTTATATATGGAGATCTAGGGGAGCCTGCCCCTTTTGGGATGGAGTCCCCTGGGAATGGGGTGGGGATAATGGGAAGGACCTGTTATGGGTATTGTGTGATATGCTGAAGGATGTGGGTAATGTCTGGCCCCTCAGGGATTTCGAGAAGCATGAAGGACCACGTGACGAAGCCCACGGCCATGGGGCAGGGCCGGGTGGCCCACATGATTGAGTGGCAGGGCTGGGGGAAGGCGCCCGTCATTCAGCCACAGCACAGCCATGAGGCCGTGCGCAGGGACGCCGATGCCTACTCTGACCTCAGCGATGGCGAGAAGGAGGCGCGTTTCCTTGCAGGTACTTGTTCCCCCCGGACCTTCAGGAGGCACATTTCTGGGTGGCCAGAGACTGACCTTTCAACCTCATCCCCCGTGGCAAGATAGGCTCTGTCCATAGGATGACCATCAGACTTAATTTCCCAACCAGCTCTAGTTTCAGGTACTTTAAGTTAACTCTAAGTGCCCTCACACTTATTTTGATTATCATCTCAGAAGTTAAGGAGGATTAACATGGGGTTGTGGGGCCACCCAGTGCTGTCTCTCCTACATGGTGGGACTAGCCAACCCCTGGACTCCTCAGCACAGGAAAAGGGCTGAGGCTTGGGCTCCCTAAAGCTCTGTTCTCCTGTTTCTTGGGGGAAAAAGAAAGGAAAGCCCTTGGAGATCTTTCCCAGCCTTAGCCCATCAGCACAGCTCCGTCAAGGATTCGCATACTGGGCTCATTAGCTGGACAACCACTAGAAGACCAAGGGACCCGGGCGAGGAGAGGGCAGTATATAGAAGAGGTTCCTTCCAGGAAAGCAGTGTAGGTACGAGTCAGGCATAGTGCGCACCCACAATGACGGCCGAGCCCCAGGAAGAAGCCTAGGAAGAATGAGGTATCATTTTACTGTTGATGTGGCTGGTGGGAGAAATATGCGTGAGGGGGAGACAGACGTGTAGGGGATAGGGGGTGGTGCAGGGCAGTGAGCAATGTAAGCTTCAAGTTACTCATGGTGTGGACTAGAATGGAGACCCCCAAGTCTACCCACCTTCACTATTCTATCCTCCTTCCCTTCTTCCAATTCCTTAAACTTTCAACTTGGTATCACTAGGGCCCTACAATCCCATGATGCTCTCTTGGGGATTCTCTGTTAATCCGGAGGCACCATCCCCAGCCCCTCATCTAGATATCCAAATTCCTCTGTCCTTGACTATGTAATACTAGCTACCATTCCTAAAACTTCCAAAGATGAACTTCTGGAAGTCCCAGATTTCAATCCCTTAGGATATTTCACCAGAAGACATCCCCCCTCCAACTCTTTCCTTTAGGAACCCCAAATCTGACCTTCTGGGAAGTCCCCCATGATTTTGCCTTGTTTTGGGGCATGTGCAGAGGCTGTGCTGTCCAGTACAGCAGCCACAGGCCACACGTGGCTATTGAGAGCTTGAAACGTGGCCAGTCCGAGTGGAGATGTGCTGGAAGTGTGAAATGTCAATTGGATTTCAAAGACTTCCTATGGATAAAAGAATGTAAAACATCTCAATAATTTTTATATGGATTAGATGTTGAAATGATCATCTTTTATACATATTGGGTTAAATAAGATATCGTAGTAAGATTAATTTCACCTGTCTTTTTTACTTTAATATGGCACCTAGAAATTTTCAAACTGCGTAAAGTGGCTTTGCCTTGTGTTTCTGTGCTCTGATGTCCCCTGCCCCACGCATGTGTCTAAGGGTTCTCGGAGGTATCTTGTGCCAACTACATTTCTTCTCCCAGGTGTCATGGAGCAGTTTGCCATTTCTGAGGCCACGCTCATGGCCTGGTCTTCTATGGATGGTGAGGACATGAGCGTCAACTCTGCCCAGGAGCCATTGGGTTGCAACTACAGTGACAACTACCAAGAGTTGATGGAGAGTCAAGGTGAGGGATGGTTCCCAAATCCAACTCCTGAGGCCTAGATGGCCTCCCCAACTATCTAGGCTACCTCTATTCACCTCTGTTCTTCTAGGACTTTCTGTTCATCTCAGATTTCCACTTACCTCCTTTCCCAATGTCTCACCCTCAATTCTCTGTGCTTTTGTTACTGCCTTTGATGGGCTGTGCCCCCACTGACCTCCACAATTCTCTTTACAGATGCCCTCACTCAAGCCCCCATGGATGGATGGCCTCACTCCTATGTGTCCCAGGGCATGTACTGTCTGGGGTCATCGGACGCCTGGGAAGCAAGCGACCAGTCCCTCATTGCCTCTCCGGCCACAGGATCCTATCTTGGCCCTGCATTTGATGACTCGCAGCCAAGCTTGCATGACATGGGGCCTTCCCAACCAGCTTCGGGATTCTCCGCTCAGGAGCCTCCACCTTTGCTTGGGGGAGACACTGACTGGGCTCCAGGGGTGGGCGGGGTGGACCTGGCAAGGGGCCCTGCGGAGGAGGAGAAGAGGCCACTGGCCCCCGAGGAGGAAGAGGATGCGGGATGCCGGGACCTGGAGTCACTTTCCCCTCGAGAAGACCCTGAGATGTCCACTGCTCTCAGCCGGAAGGTGTCTGACGTCACATCCTCAGGGGTGCAGTCCTTTGACGAGGAGGAGGGTGAGGCCAACAACTAGCTTCTTCCCACTCTACACCCTACCTTCCCTCCCACCTGAGGGGCATGGCTGCAACAGTACCCTCCCTTCCCCCAGCAGTACAGCCAAAACCTGGGCAGGAGACTGCGAGGAGCCCAGGAGCAGCCAGTCCTCGCCAGGAAAACGCAGGGCTGGGACGGGATTCTATCCAGGCTTGTGCTGTAGAAACCACAGGTCCGGGGACCGAGGCCCAGGCAACCAGATGGCCGTGAACTTGGCCTGACTGCAGGCTTCTGGGTCTGATGATAAAGCTCCAGTTTGCATCCTGGGGACAGAAGCCATCGACAAGATCTGTTTTTCACACCCTGACTTCGTCTTCCAGGAGCCTGGACTGTGGCTGTCTGAATGCCTCCTTTCTCATGTCTCTCTTGCGTTTTCTGACTCTGTTTTCTCTGGCTGTGGGCCCAGCTTGACCCTACTGTGAAGAACAGACCTCAGGGCTGCTGCACGTGGCTCGATGAGCGTAGAGGAAGCCACGTCTCCTTAGAGGGTGGAGAGTCTGCCCTCCGTGGCTAGCTTGGCTTCTGAGATCAGGAGTCACAGGGAGGTGGACATCGCAACTGGGTGCATAGTCAGGATTCTTTATATAAAGCCTACCCAGAGACCGGAGAGGCACCGATGGGACCAACAACAAACATGGCCACCTGTTCTGGGGTCTTGACTATCCCGTGACTGAAAGGTGGGTCCCAAGGGTCTGGGAAAGGACCCAGTGGGCTGGCTGCTCCAGCTCTTGCTTCCTTTGTCTGCCTTCTTCCATCCCTTGCTCTAGGAGCCCTGCCCAGAGGGGGGGACACCTAAGGCAGGTGTCCTGCCAGGCGGGGAAGCATGAGGGCCGTGCCTCCCTCCATCCACCCCCGTCTTCTCTGGAGCTGTTTACACTTTTCTCTTTGCCTTTTCTACATTTTTATAACTTCTTGGGGACTCAGGTTGAGTGGGGTGGAGGGAGGAGTCTGGTGCTGTCGGGCGGGCCGTGGGCTGTTTGCTGAGAAGCAGTGTGGGCACTCAGCTCCTTTTGCTCCTTCTCCAGCCCCTCCCAGCAGCCTCCCTTCCCAGGCCGCCTGCGGAGAGGGGGTGGGGTCAGAGTCTTCTTCCTTCCGGGACGGGTTAGGAGGCAGAAGCCCCTGCAACTGCCTGCCCTTCCACCCAGTTCCCAGCGCTGTGGGCTTCTGTCCGCAGCACACAAAGCCCCACAGTTCTGTAAGGATGCTGGGAGCAGGGCCAGGCTGGAGCAAAGGGGCGGCAGCTGTGGCGTGCTCGGTGGGACCCCATTCCCTGGCCCCTGCCAGAGGGAGACTCTGGGCCGGAGAGAGAAGCTAAGAGGTTCATTGCCTACCTGTCCTCTTTCCTCTTCTAAGACTCCAGCTCCAGGGCCTCGTGTCCCACCCCAGCCTTGTCAGGGCTCCTGTTGCTTCTGTCCTCCTCCAGGAAGGGAGCGCTGTCACCTCTCAGACCCTGGGCACAAACTGCCCATCCCCACCCCCATCCCCCCATGTCCATTTCTTTGGAATGAGGAGGTTGAGAGGTGGGGTGTGTGTGTCCCTCTATGACCCTGACCCCCATCCCGTTCACGCTTTCCTCGCATGTGGTCCTGAAATGCAGCCGAGGCGGGGGTCCTGTCTTCAGGGAGGGGGTGGACGGGGAGGAACCGGCAGCAGGCTGGGGAGTGCTGGTGCGCGAAGACTCGCTAACCTCACCTGAAGCTGTGGCTGCTGAGTGATCATGTGACCTGACTGGGAGGCCCCAGGACCTCTGTCTGGGAGCTCTGGGCCGTGGTCTTGGCCCTCCCCCTGCCCTCCTGCCACAGGTCTTGGGGTTTCCGCATGCTCCAGGCTCCCTCCTCCCAGAACTCCACCTGTTACCTCAGCTTGTGCAACCTGCTCTCTGGATGCACCTCTTTTCCTTAGTCTCATCCTCTTCCTGCCCCTCCTCTGCCCCCAGACCATGGTAGACGCCCCTCCAGTGAGTGGGCTCCTGCGTTCCAGTTCCTTTCTGCTCAGGGCCCTGGGGAGTCGGGGTAGGTAGACAGAAACAGCGTTCTTCCCTCCCTCCCTGCCTCGAGGAAGCCTTGTTTTGGTCCCTGCCGAAAGATGACTGAATTGTCAGGGAATCTAGCCAATTTCAGACTCCAGCGGGGCTCCACATCCCCACCCACCCCGCGCTGGCGGCTGGCACGTGCGCAGACCAGAGGTCAGCTGGGGGTCTGCATTTGCAAGGAGCTTCCCTTCCACTTGGAAGAGGGAGAAGACCCAGGGAGCTGGCCTGGGCCCCTCTGAGGACTCTTCTTTGGTGCTGGGGGCAGGGTGCATGGGGTTTGCTTATAGCCTATTGGGGGGAGGGGAGGGGCATGTGCTGGAAGAGGCTGTTGGGTGAGGGAGGGTTGCTTTTCCTCCGGGGTTAAAGGCTGTGCAGCACGATTTACAACAGTCCCGGAATGAGGCTGTTTTTATATTATTGTCAATGAAACTGCTCTTGCTAAATGATTTTTTTTGGGGGGGGTGGGGGGTGCACTTTTATTTTCCATTCATTTTATTAAAGGAAAACCCAAATCTTTCATTCCTCCCCTTCCGCCGCCCCCCACCCCCTTCCTTCTTCTCCTGCGTTAAGGAGGGAATCTTGGTGATGTGTTTATGACCCTTTCCGTCCCCCCCTCAGCCCATGCTTGTCTTCCAGGTCTGGGGAATATCCATTTTTGTGGCCAGTCTTAGCATGTTTTCTTAATGTGACATCCCCACCCCAGGCCCAAGAGAGATTCTATGGTATATATTACAGAGAGAATTATATATAAATATATATAAATATTATAGATTATATACACATGGGCATTGGGCTCGAATGCCCACTGCCAGCCCCCTCCCCAGGCTACAGCCTCTCCCTCTCGGCCTGGGGAGTGGGCAGGGATGTAAGGTGGGGGAGGGCTCCAGGCTGTGTTCAATGGCACTAAAGAATGTGGTGGCATCCTCTGACTATGAGTGTCTTCTTTGGGGGATGAAGGAGACTGGGCCCAGGGGAGGTGAAGGAGGAGCATATCACATCGGAGAGGGGACGCTAGAAGGCATAAAGGAGGGAGGGAAAAGACTTGGGGTATGGATGCAAGGGTGTTTGGATGCTCAGAGCCCTGGGATTGCTTGCAGTGAAGGCTGGGTCCCGGCAGGCTCCCTGCTGCTGATTTGGGGAGGGCCCAAGCGCGGAAGCATGGAGGAGGTCTGCCATGTTGACATCGACACCCCAGCTCTCCACCCCGAGAAGAACCCAAGGAGCTAGCCTAAGGGCGGGTGTCTGACCCAGTGGAGGGCCTGGCTGCCCTGAGCTTTGGTTCTTGGCGGGAGAGGCCCTGGCCAGAGCAGCTCGAGGGCGGAGCTGACCCTGGGGGAGGACGGATCAATGACCCCAGTGGGAAGAGGGGCTGGCTCTTCTAGGACGTGACCTGGAAATGAGGGTGTGGAAGCTGTGATGTGGGAGCGGAGGAATTCTGCCGGAGGGAGTTAGATGGAGCCATGGGGGCAGCTCCAGGTGCCTGCCCCTCCTACAGAGAGCCTTCTGTGGCATTTTCTCTCCCAGGCTGGCCCTCCGATAGTCTCTTTATCCACATTTCACAGCTTAGATTAGGGACAAAGGAAGGGGACGTGGGGCTGGCCTTCTGCTGCCTGGGTGATGCCCTTGCTTGGGGATAGATAGTGGGAGCCAGATGGAGTCTGGAGGCAACTTTCGGGAAGCGGGGAGACTGTGGGTTGGGGGACTGTGCTGGGAGGGGCTGTGGACGGTCTGCGAGTGTGTTCTGGGGCCATCGGTCTCCAAGGCCAGGAGGGGGTCCCATTGCCTCCTCCAGGGCAGCACTTGCAGGGTCACGAGCGTCCCGGGCCTCCCTTCACCCCCGTGGAGACTGAAGGACAGATAGGCAAGGCCAGGAAGGCGCAGGGACAATGACACCTGGAGTTGTGGGGGAAGAGGGGAGGCAGAGAGAGGCTGGGCGTTCCCCACCAATACCGGGGAGGAAACTTCAGGAAGGTCCATGGAATATAAGGGCCCTTCACTTGGATGAGTGGCGGAATGGCCTAAATTATTGACCAAGGCTAGTCTCTGCCCAAATTCCGACTCCTCCTCTCGGACTATCATGGTCACATATTAAAATTCTCAGGAGGGGCCAGGATATTGGCACGATCTCTCCAACACTAAGACATACTGTCTCCCACACAAATCCACCCCCGGGGCCTGGGCCTCTCGGCAGTCTGATGAGTGGTCCCTGGGGGCGGGTCAGAGGATCAGTTCCTCCTCCTCCTCCTCCTCATCAGTGGACCGCAGACTGGGGCCCTGCAAGATGTCCGCCAGCTCCTCTTCCAGCCCCGGACTGTCCAGCTCCAGCTCCTCCAGCTCACCTTCCGCCTTGGCTGGAGCCAGGGAAAGAGGGGGCTCTGGGGTGGGGGGCAGCTTCGGGGTCTCTGGTGAGGTAGTAACCACATCCTCGGGCTCAGCAGCCCCAATCCCATCCTCAGGGAAGCTCCAGCCCTCCGGAGGGGGTAACGGGCCCCCAGGTGTCTTCCGAGTTGAAGTTGTGCTCCGGAAGCTGGCCAGGGGAGGGCGGAGCTGCACCCCCGACTTGGTGTGCCCCTCGATGGCCTTCTGTAGCTGGGGGCAGAGGGAAAGGGAAAGAGGGTACAGCATTGGGAAGAGAAAGAAGACAGGACGGTGTGAGAAGAACAGATACAATAAGAGGTAAAGGAATGTCGAAGCCATAGTGTGACAAGAAAGGTGGACCACACAGAGAGATCAAAGGAAACAGAAAAAGGACAGGGGCCCTGACCAGCCGACTCCCTGCAGAGCAGTGACTCTGAAGCCCCTTCCTGATGACCTTCAGGCTCCCTTCAGCCACATCCTGTCTCTTCCCCCTTCCCATGGCCCTCCCCATAGAACACCCCTATGGAACCATGACTTGTGCCCTGAACCCCAATCCCAAATCCATGTCAACTATGGCAGATCACAAGGGCTACATCTGGGGTGAGGATCTATGTCCCCTTAAGAGCTTTGCAGCCCTCTCTACCCACACCCCTGATTGCCAAACCCCGTCCCTCCTCCAGTCGCTGCATGAGACATAGGGAAATGGGGGATTAAAACCACCCGCCCCACCCATTCCTCCGGCTGCTCAAACGGGAACACATCACTGTTACCTCCTCCAGGGCCAGCACACCCCGGAGCTTCCCCATGCTGGTCACATAGGCAAGGTGGAGGCCAAGGAGTGAGAAGAGCGTGTGGATCTGCGTGGACAGGGCAGCGGTTCAGCGCACAGCGGCCCCACACCGCCCTGCCCTCCCAGAGCCCGGCGTGGGGACAAGGACTAGCCTTGTGCAGGGACGTCTGCTCCACCAGCTGGAACGGGGACTGGTCAATGCAGCAGCAGTCGAAGCAGACAGGCTGGCTCAGCTGCTCCCGCTCCCAGGCCTCAATCTGTGGGGCGGAGTAGAGGAGTCACCCAGCACCACAGAGCCCTCTTCACCCTCAGGTTCAAGGCTTGGGCCCAAGCAGCCCTCCCAGCTGGGAATCCTGAAATAGGCAACTGAAACACACAAGGAACTAGCACAGACCATCCTGATCACTAAACCCCTCCCGTCTCCCAAGGGACAGCCCGTCCTGCCCCAAACACTTATTCCACCCTCTCTCTCCAGTCTTCCCCCGGCTCCTGGCATGTTCCTGCTCCAGTGAAACATGCTACTTGCCCTGGCTGCTGCACCTCCCCACCCTGCCCCCCGGCTACACCCAACTCTACACTCTTGACGCTCCATGGCCGTGTGCTCGGCCCCTTCTCCAATTCCTGCAGCGCTCTGCTGGCCTCTCCTTTTCGGAAGAGGCCTGGGCCGTGCTCCCTGCTGCACCGCCTTTCTCACCATCTTCTGCACGTTTTCCTCGTGTGCAGTAGATTGTGGCGGATATTGGTCGGATTTGAAGAGCTGCGCTGGGTCGTGTGGCGCTTAGTGGATTTGAGCAAAGCCATCTTGTGTGTGTGTGTGTGTGTGTGTTTTGTTCAGGACAGAAGCATTAAAACACGAAGGCCAACTCCCCTCTAGAGTTGAGATACAACACCCAGATCCCCAAGCGTCCATGGAATCCAGGATAGCTCCGGCGTTCATAACCGAGTCTAAAGTTTTCTGAAATTCTCCTCTTCCCTGATTAAAGGTTTGCATGGGGATTGACCAGCTCCCACGACACAGGATGGCGACCACGAAGCAGGTATGTCACAGAGACGATTTATTTATGAAGGTCGGCCTCTTGCCAATGCTGGTTTGGCTGGCCCCGCCCCTGGACCTTTCCGTGATCATTTCCGGTTTTCCCTAGTTCCATGTTTGCCTTCCCTTAAGGAATGACGAGGACAGAACCTGTACCGAGCACTTCCTCTGTGTCAGACATTCTTCAGATTGCACAGAGGTGGAGCTGGGCTCCTGACCTTGGCTGCTGGGAGTGTCCCAGTACCTCCGGTTCTTGTCCAAGGGCAAGAGGATGTCTCCTCCTGAGTCTGAACTTGGAAAAGCTCAGCCCCGGTTACAAACCAGAGCTCTAGCTGTGAGCACCCCCAGTAGCAGAACTAAGTCAGAGCAGGGACCCCGGCAGCCCGTCGTTGAGTTCCTTCAACATTCCCACAGGTATTATCTGGATACTGCCAACGGTGCCCCCTTGATCGAGCCTGTAAACCATGTATTGGATGGTATTCCTCCAAAATGTCAGTGAGTCGCATGGGAGCTGGGAGCTGCCTAAGGTCTCCTTTGGGAAAGATATAAACTCAAAATATAAACTAAAAAAAGACGCTGGTCTTTTCATCCCTGGTGCACTTTATTTTCAGGGGTCATGAAGCAGCCTTGCTGAGCAACTAGCTGGCTGGCTATCTTTGGCGTGTTAACAAAAAAACAACAACAAAACAAACAAAAAAACCCCAAAAACAAACAAACCAAAAAAAAGCATGCTTGTTGGTCTTAGCGCCCTGGCCAGGCACACCTTGATTACAGATACGGCCCATCTGACTCCTGCTCGCGGACAGAGGAATGATTTTTCTTTTTCCTCTGCGAGCATCTGTTTGACTTTCCCGTGAGTCATTTATCAGACATGTATGTGTTTTGAGGGGTGGCAAGGGGACAGCGAACCTTGCTCTCTTATCGCTCCCCACCCTTTCCTCCAACCCTGGAGTACTTTTAACTTTCAGCACGTATTTATTCTGGGTGTCCAATAAGACGCTGACTCTAAAGTAACATGCGCCATGGTTTTGTCCGCTACACAGCTGGAGTCTGCGTTCTCCAGTCCTAAATGGAAGGGCTGTGATGGATTCTGTCGTGTCTGCGCGGCCCCTAGGCTGTGTCTCCATGGGTACTGCCCCCCATCACCGCCCCACATTCCTTCACGACTCGTAGCCAAGGCCATTCAGTGTGCTCGACTTTCTGGCTCCTGGACTTGAGAACTGGCTCTTCGGGGAAATCGACATGTGTCCCGAGAGGCAGCGCTGTGAATCCCTGTCCCCAGACTGGTTCTGGCCAGTCCTGGCATTTCCTGGCTGTCCGCGGCGTCAGGCCGCGGTCGGTCAGCAGAGCAACCTCCACCGGGGGCAGGTCGCACCTTGCTGGCTTTGGGGAGTAAGTGCTGGTGCTGGTGCAGGTGCCATGTTACTGCAGGTAAAGCTCAGCCCCCCCGCGTAGCCCCTGCCTATCCAGAATGTCCCCCAGGTCTAAGCCTCATCTTAGCACCATGGTCCCATCTGCACATGGAGACTCCCGTCTTCTGCAATGACAGCGGTCCTTCTGAGAGCACTATCAGGTCTCCCTGCCTCCACGCAATGTGTTCGTCCCTGTCTCCATAGTCACACCCCCTCAGCCTCCCCAAATGCTTCCCCGCATAGACTTGCCTCTGATTCTGACAACAACGCGACGGAGGTAGAACAAGAGGAGCAATATCTTCATTTAACAGAACAATTCACCCCAGGGTGCTGTTTCCCTTACTTACCTCTTCAGGTGACATGTTATCCACCAAATCCGTTGGATCCTAGAGAAGAGAGACATAGGTCCAAGTTCTTTCCCAACGGAACCAGAGTCATGCCTCCTGGCCGGGGCCACAGATGCCTTCTTTCTAGGTCACCGTTCCTCCCGTGTGATGAAGGTGCTCCTTGCTGGGATCCTGTCCCTCCTGACCTAAGGGCTGTGGCTGTCTCCCTCTTCAAAGACAGGCTGCCTCTCCCCCCCCCATCTCTCACCTGGCTGGTTTTCTTCTTGGTGGGGTGAGTTTTGCCCAGTAAGCAGCACAGCAGAAACTGGTAGATGGAGCGTCTTTGACCTGAGAGAAGCGCGGAGCAGATGGAAATGGACACAAACAAGTCCCACCCTTCTTGGGAGGAAACAGCCAGAGGCTCCCAAGTGGTCCCGACACTTTGCCAGCACCATAGACACCCTCTCTTCTACCCTCTTAAATCAGCCCTTGCCCCACTCTTGGGGCAGCAACATGGAGACTCGATGAATAGAAACCCTCTCTCACCAACTCCTTCCTCCCTCCTCACAGTAGCAGCTCTTAGGCTGAATGAAGGTGCATGATGGGAGAATCTTTACCTGCAGGCTCCGGAGCTTCTGGCTGCTCTTTGAGGCTGGGCAGGGGCCCGTTGGGCTCTTCGGGGCGCAGTGGAACAGTAGGAAAGGGGTGAGGAGGAGGAAGAGGAGGCAGCTGTAAGGGGCAGTAAACATCCTCAGGCCCGAAGAAGAGGCTGCCCAGTGCTACCCTGCTTTTCCAGCTGGTGTCCTGGGAAGTCCATCTAACTCCATTCTCCCTCCCATTTCAGAATTCCTGTATCCCTCTGAGTTCTCATCCGGGCCATTGTCCACAGCCTTATCTCCGTCCATCCTCTGGACTGAGGGCCAGTGGTCTCTCTGACTTTCTCAATGACCAGCATCTCCACTCCCCCTTCCTACTTTCCCTTTGTCCCAGTCTCTCCTGCTCCCCAGCCTGGTCACCTCGGGTTTCCCAGAGAGGTCTTCATCTTCATCCTCATCCACAAAGGCAAAGGACTCGGGTCGGCCCTGGGGCGCGGAGCCCTGGCGCCCCTCCCCAGCCCGCGGAGCCTTCCCGTTGAAAGGCAGCTCAGACAGCTTCCTGGCCAGGTCCTGGGCTTCCCGCAGCCTCCGCTCAGGACACAGGTGGCGCTGCAGGAGGGCCTGCAGCTCCGACCGCTCCACGGAGCCCAGCAGGATCATGGAATCTGGGGGCGATCCAAGCTCAGCCTCAGGGCCCGCTTATCACCAGCTCCCCAACGCCACCCTGCTCCACAGGATGGAGACAAGGACAGAAAACCAGCGCCTCTGCTTTTTTTTTTTTTCCCTTCCAGTGTTCACCCTCTCTCCCTAAAAATTCATTTCACAAATCTTGCAGGATTGACCTCACGGGGTCTCTTTTATTTCACCCATTTAGCACATAGAGACCTAATTGATAGTACACTAATGGGTGCTAATCTGTACTGTTTTGACATAGGCTGTTTGCAGATAGGTGAATTTGGTATTAAAATAGGCTAATCAACCCTGTTTCCAAAAGGAAGGAAGGAAGGAAGGAAGGAAGGAAGGAAGGAAGGAAGGAAGGAAGGAAGGAAGGAAGGGAGGGAGGGAGGGAGGGAGGGAGGGAGGGAGGGAGGGAGGGGAGGGGAGGGGAGGGGAAAGGGGGAAAATAAAAAGAGATGTGAATATACTTGGAAAGAAGCCTACAAGGATATCTGATGTTTAATTATTTAAAGCGCCTGCATCCTTCTAGGATATAAACAACATGCCTACTTTTCCTGGGAAGGTCAAAATTCTGCTGCTATAATGAACACTTTCACTAAGTTTTCAGGCCAGAAAATTGCAGCAGCGCCAGGGAGATCAATCCTACCGCCGCGTCTTAGTCATTATCAGGAAAAACGTGCACCTCGGTGGCCGCTGCGGTAGACGCCTCCCCGAAGGGATTTGGGGAAAACGAGCCTGACTTAAGCAAGCTGGACACTCTGAGTATCTGAAATCAGAACTCACCATTTTAATGGCTCCAAATGGCCTGCCATGATTCTTCTCTATTACACAAATTCAAACATGAGGCACGTATTTATTTAATATCTAGTAAATATCTACAAGGAGGCAGTCTGATGGAGAAGATAGAAGTGATAGTCTCTACCCTCAGGAATACCCAGTCTAGTGAGAAAGATCAGAATGTAGACATATAAACCACAGTAGGAAATAATACGGAACAGGATTAGGGCTAACGCTGGGCAGAAAACACAGTGAAGGACGCGTCGGATCACCGCTTACTAAAACCGGTCACTCCTTCATATGGACGATCTGCATCTCAGTTGGACAGTAAAGAACAGCTATTATTACTCGGCTGGTGTGGCTCAGTGGTTGAGCGTCAACCCATGCACCAAGAGGTCGCTGGTTCAATTCCCGGTCAGGGCACGTGCCCAGGTTGTGGGCCAGATCCCGGGGGGGGGGGGGGGGCGGGTGCGAGAAGCAGACAATTGATGCTCTCTCTCATCGATGTTTCTATCTCTCTCTCCCTCTCCCTTCCTCTCTCTCTGAAAATCAATAAAGGAAAAAAAAAAAAGAACAGCTATTATTTAGTCAAGAAGCAAAGAGAACCACATAAGGGGCTATAAGACGAACAACTGAGCCTTGTTATCTGTGGACTCCCTCTTTGCGAATTCGCCTATTTGTGACCCCAAACCAATACTCACGGTGCTGCCGCTGGCATTCAGACATGCACAGAGCAACAAGCAACCTGGATCACCCCACACATCCTCGCTGAGGTTGAACACAGTTATGCAATACTTTCATTTATTTTTATCCAGCTCTCATATTGCAAACAAATGTTCTTTCCATGGTACATTTATTGCCACGTTTTGCACATTTTTGTGTTTTGTGTTGGTTATTTTGCGGTTTCAAGTTGCCCCCAGGATAAAGACTGTGAGAAAATAAGTGACTTAGGTAAGCTTTGTCTCAGGCACAAGCTATTCATGCTGTTGGCTGTAAGTTCAATGTGAATGAATCAACAATATATAATCAGTAAGGTGTCTTTAAAGAGAAACACGTACAAAAAAAGTTTATGCATTGATTAGTGGAAGAAAATGTGACCAGGGCTTGCAGGAACCTAACCTTGTCTGTCTTCTAGGAGCAATGGTTCCATGTAGTATCCCTAATTCAATGTTCATGGCGACTTTATAAAAACATAGCTACAATGGATAATGAGAATGGACTGCTTCTTTAGTTGGTTTTTAAATGTCTTGCTGTGCTTGTGTTACGGCTGTATTTCACCTTCCTCAGGGTGATCATGTTCTCTGAGGAGCACAGGCTGAGTCTCCAGTAGCAGACTAAGTGGCCCCCACTGACAAGTCACCACAGGGCCTCTCCCACCTCTACAGAGCCCAAATTCAAGTCACTAATTCAGGCATTGCCTTTCTTCCTTCCCACTGACCTTTTGACTCAACCAGTGGCAAAGTCTTGACCGTGGTGGTCTGGAGCAGGGTTTGCAACTCCCCATACGTGCAAGAAGCTGAAACAAACTTCACGTCACGTACCATGATGTCTTCAACAAAGATCGTAAATTTGCTGTGGAAGGAGACAGCGTGGAGGGTGAGCCCCACATAGTCCTGTCCCTTTGCTGGCCCTTCTGTGCCTCCTGTGAGCTTTGCCATTTGGTTATTCACATGGTTTATTAAGGACATGGGAATATGAAAAGAAATCCAAAGCAGTGCTCGCCAACATGGACCCTAACTGCAATCTCAACCTCAGAACCTCCCACACCCCACCCCATCAGAGCTGAACTAATTCCAGCTGGTGCCCCTGACCTGAGCTGGTTCCAACCAAGGTCAGGCAAGTAGGGTAGTTTCTTGACCTGGATGATGCTGTCATAAAGGGAGGGCTGCAGGCTCTGAGCCACCATGTTGGCCAAGATAACAGCCACCATCATGGGTAGGATGTGAGCAATCTGACCCGTTAATTCGAAGCAAATCACAGCTGTGGAGACCGTGTGGGACACTGCACCAGTCAGCGCTGCAGCTCCTAGAATGAGACACAGGAATGTACTGGTGGATAAGAGCTGACATTCTTGGCTTGCAGGGCACATGAGGATGTGACGAGAGTGACACAGAGTGGATCAGTGCCAACACTCCCATGATAACCATTTGCCAAGAGTAGGAAGTTCACAAGAGTAGGAATTTTGCCCAGAGATAGGGCTGATATCACCTGTGTCAAAGTCCCAACCCTGTATTCAAATGGTCAGCTAGCCTGTGAGCCACCCCCTTGGCGTAACTACCTTCCAGGGCCACCAAGAATGTGTTACTAGACTGAAGGGGCCATTTGCCTGCACACATCAATGCCCAATAAGACATGAACAGGACTTTGCAGCCAAGAAAGTAAGGATTTATTAAGGAGATGGCGCCATGACCGGAGTCACAAGTAGCTCATGCGCAAAGACCTGGCTCCCTGGTAGCTTCCAAAGAATGGATTATATAGGAGGAAAATCATTAATCATGGTGACTAAGGGAGTTAGGGTCATGGTCTCCATTGATTGGTGGGTGTTAGGGTAGAGGGTAAATGATCATTGCATTTGGTCCTGATGTCAGCCCTGGAGTTGTTCTGTCCAATTTTGCAAGGATTTGTTCTGTGGGATTGTTCTGCTTTTTTGGGTCTGGAGCTAAAACACAATTGAGGTCAAGCGCCTGGAACACTGTTTGACACTTAGCACTCACTGAATAAATAACTGAAGAACAAACAAAAAAAGTAGGGTCTAAAATGCTGAACTGTTAGGAAATCATCATTTTGATCTTATTCCATGATCTTTGACAAGTTACGAAATCTTTGTATGTGCCCACGTTTTCATTCAATCATGAAGAGAGTGATGTGCCATCCATTCCCGGTTTTTGAAAGTCTGTGTCATTCCTCACTGAGCATTTTAAAACCCAGTTAGGGCATTCTACTTTGGACCTCAGGTTTTGAGACAACAATTTATGGGAGAGAAAGGTCATCATATGAGCAGTGAAGCTGGTTAGTTCTCCTATATCTAGGGGAGGCACGGCCTTAGATGTTATGGGATTTCAGTGAAGACAGAAAGGAGGGAAGCGGTACTATCATTCTAGGATTTATATTGGTCACTGTGTTAGATGTGGGCTTTGGTTGGATGGGATAATAGATTTCATAGAATGTTAGGGCAGCAAGCTATCTCAGAAGTCACTAGCTAACTTGTCCATGACCATCCAGGTGACGAGTGGCCGAGATGGGTCCAGACCCTGTTTCTTGGCACCTAGTCATGTGCTCTTAAATCCTGTAAATACTGGCACATTGGCGAGGTGACAGCAGCCGTGCCAGTCACCTGCATTGTTGCATTGGAAGGGAAAAAAAACAAAACCCTTTAAATATTCAGACACAATTTTAGGTGATTTATCCCTATCATCTTATTTGATCCCCATAATCCTTCTTTTCTGCCTGAAGAAACTAAGTCTCTCAGACACTTAATACATGTTAAGGAGAGTCAGAACCAAGGGTTGATTATTTGAACACAAGTTGAATTAAAGAGCACTAAATTAAAACCATATTGTATAGCCTGGAATGAAGACGTCATGGGAGAGCTGGGAGTGTGGGCATTTGAGGGACCCAATATTTGGTTTCAGGAGGGTGGACGGAATGTGTCTCACCGATTACTGCATAGCCCCCAGGTAGGATCTTGTAGATGAGTCCATCAAATAAGATACCATCAGGAAATATCATGGCCATGATCTCTCCTACCAGCCTTCCAAATGCAGCTCCTAGAGCAAAGACAGAAGGGAGGGAGGTATAGAAAGATCCAAGTTCTTTGCCCTCTATATTTTCAGAGCCAATCCCTCCTTAGGCACTAAGACCAAATACAAGCCCCCAGCTTTCCAGGCCTCTCCTATTTTCCCAGTACCCTACACTGGGCTATCAGTAGGATCCCAGGCTCCCCATCAGAACTCACCTAGCACAAACACAGGCATGAAGCCTCCGCATGGTATGGGCATAGTGGTGGCCACGATGGACATCCAGAACTGGGGTAAAAAGAGGCGTCAGGACACCCTCTCCACTCTGCCCAACACACACACACACACACACACACACACATTCAATGCCCTTCCCACTATCCTTCTCCTTCCTGCTTCAAGAGCCACAGAAATGCTGGGATAGCTCATCCTTTTGATGTCTCTCCCTCTTCCTCCAGAACCAAGAACCATGGAGCTCTCCAGCTGAGAGATCACCAAAGACAATACTGTAAGAAAGTTCCTCCAGAGGGTGAACCCCAAACCCTCCTAACTTGGAGTGACTATATTTGCCTTTAGGCAATACAGAACAAGGAGTAGGGACTCAGAGGTCCTCTGTCACAGCCTCCAAAGGGCCCTAGCCCACTGTAGCCTCTTTGCAACCTCAACAGAAGAGCCCGAAACTCTTGAAGCTGAAAGGTATCTTGTCCTGGTCAGAGGGTGTTCCTGAAAAAGATCCCCAGTTGGAAGTGGCAGACACCTTAAAGGCTTAGTGATTTACTGTGTGACTAATTGAGCTTTAATGTAGTTCTTTACAAAGCCATTTAGGATGGCGAACCTCACAGGGGAAACTGCAGCTGACTATCCTGCCTGAGCCATTTCCTGTGACATCAAATCACTTTAAAAAAAGATCAAAAAAAAAAAAAAAATCAGCTCTGCCCTAGCCATACTGGAAGGGCACCTTGAGGAAGCCAGGTGAGACAGCTAGTGTAACAGTAAAGATCACCGGGGCCCGCTTTGTCCGGTGGAATTCCAACAGGAACCGGGGTAATTTTAAAAAAAGCAATATGTGCATTTTGCAGCAAAGAATGCAAAAGAAATTTGAAATAGAGTTTAAAAGGAGTAGTGCCTAAACTTTTAGGAGACACAGTATGCACATTAGCAATAGATCTACATATCACTTCCAAAATCAGTAAGCCAGTCTTGGAAAAGGGACCTCAAACTAACTTGGTGAAAGATGGTAGCAGCTAAAGATCAGAACAAATGGCCAGGATCCAAATGTTTATCATTCAAAACTGCACCAACGGCACTGTCAAGTATTGAGAAATAAGTGTCTTCATTTTCTCAACCTTACAAGGAATTCCCTTGAGCCAGGGCTGACCTCAAGAGGAAGTGACAGAGGCTCTGAGAAACTTTCATCCCAGAAACTCTGAGATAAGGCAAAACACACAGTTTTTCATGGCCGAACATGGCTGTTTAGAACAGCGAAACACTGTAAAATTAAATGTATGTATGAAGAGTCTATAGATTAAGAAGTCCTTGAGTGTAAAATACGAGTGTAACTTGTTATCTCTGCTTTCTCTCTGCACTGGCACTGTGCTCGGTAAATGTAGGTAGGCTGTAGATAGGTAGGTAAGTAGGGCTGTGGGAAGAAAGGAAAGAATGAAAAAAAGAAGAGAGCTTGGTCAAATAGTATTCATACAAAACAGAAAAAAACACTCAGAGCTAATATTTGCTACAATGCCCAGTGGCAATGCTCGGGGAACTTGAGGTTAAACTACAGATGATCAAGGCTACCATTTCAGACCGTCTGGAGACAGAGATCTAGGCACTTATAGTTTAAGCTTCTTTTTTTCCCCTTTTATTGAATTTAGAGAGCGAGGAAGGAAGAAAGAGAGAGAGAGAGAAACATCAACAAAAGAGAACATCGATTGGCCGCCTCCTGCCTGCCCCCCACTGGGGATCGGGCCCACAACCTGGGCATGTGCCCTGACCGGGAATCGAACCGGCAACCTCCTGGTGCATGGGTTGATGCTCAACCACTGAGCCACACAGGCCAGGCTAGACTTCTTTTTATTCTTTTTTTTTAAGACAGAGGAAGGGAGAGAGAGAAAGAAAGAGAGAGAGAGGGAGAGAGAGACAGAGAGAGAGAGAAAGAGAAAGAGAGAGAGAGAGAGAGAGAGAGAGAGAGAGAGAGAGAGAGATGTGAGAACAGAAGATTGACTGGGAATCAAACCGGCAATTTTTTGGTGCATGGGACAATGCTCAACCAACTGAGCCACACTGGCCAGGGCTAGTTCAAGCTTCTTAAGTGACTGACCTATGCCTGTTTGAGGCCCTTGAACTATTCTGTACCATATCTTTGGAATAAGTACATCAGGGATTTTGCAAAGTCATAGGGATTTGTAGGCTCAGGTCAATCTGAAAGTTTCAGTAATACAGATAACAGGTGGCCAGTAGGTCTGATTTCAGAGACTGAACTTTAGCCTCCAAAATATGTGTAAGGACAGTTACAAGGATCAGAGGATACTGAAGTATCAACTGCTGTAGCATTGAGAATGACACAGGAGATTAGCCAGCCTTTTGAACTATTAGCACGTGAAAGGGAAGATCCAGGAGCAATGTTAAGTGAGGGGGAACACAAATAACTCCCGAGATTTTAAATTCTAGAGAGCTGGGAAGCTAGAGAGCCGTGATCACAGAGTCCACTTTTTTTAGACCCAGCACAAGGAGCCATGTGAAGACGATCAGGAAAAAAAATTCCACAGAGCCTCGGGCTGTGCTGAAAACTCCAGGATCCTCGGTGATCATGTGGGACTTAGTGAAAGGGAAACAGGGAAGCTGTCATTGTATTCACACTCATTGTGAAACCTCCTGATTCACAACACAATGAGACTTTCCGTGTCTTAAGATTGAGGAAGATGGAGGCTCCTTCGTCAACATTATGAAATATCTGAACTGAGAATCTTATCGGCCTGCACTGGGGCTACCAGAAGACCACACATGTTTTAAATCGGACTGTGGAAGAATAGGTCCTGTCACTGTTCTATTTTGATTCGGTTGTGTAGCTGATTGCCCACACTCTGGAAAAACAATAAGGGTATGCTTACGTGTCCAATGACAGGACAGTGAAAAATGCGGTGATACCCTAAGTAATATCATGGATTTATAGCCATGCATGGTTGGATGTTTATAAATACTATAGAAAATCACAGGCCTGCTAAAAACTGCTGGACTTGGAATATAGCCCAGGAAGTGTGTGGATTCCTTTCTGATACACTAATGAGATAAACATTTTCAAGGATGTTATACAGTGAGAAATGAGTAATAGTGACAGACAGTTGAGTCTTTCTATATAATCCGGTAAATGTCTCAGAAGAGACTTTAATCCATGAAGTGGTATCCAGATATACACTTGGGAATCCTGGGAGGTGAGCTGAGATGTGGGGGAAATGTTGAAAAATATATGGTATTTGGTTTTCTCCGGAAAATTTCAAAAGCTTGACATTTTAAGAGTACTTATGTCCCCACTGTTACCATATAGCTCCGTGTAGAGAAATACCAGGAAAACAGAATTATTACCATTGAGCAGTAAATTCTGAGATGCCATCAAACTTGCACTTGGTTATAGCAGATGGGTTTGTATACTCAACAACAATTACAGGAAGTTGAGATTCATAATTAGAGAAGATGAAGCCTATAAAGAACCCCCCGCTCCCCACAAACAACAACAACAACAACAACAAAACCCTAACAAGACACTGAGAACTGCTTTATGATAAAAACATCAAATCTTTTGAAGGAAGAAACAAAAAATTTAATAAAATGGGTATGCAAAATGGGGAGGCTATAGACCCAATGAACCCCCCTGAAGTGAAATAGGGAAGAACACACATAAACACAGCACACCCTGAGAATGTAAGTTACAGAGTTGGAGCTGGTGTGGCAAGTGTCTGGTGTCTCTGATCATAAGATCACTGACAAGTTCATTAAATGAACAGCAACAAACAAAGAAGAAAATGTAAGAAGTTATTTTTCAACCATAAGCTTAAGATTTGACAAAGATCAGCAATCACGTATTATATACTTGGAACACAGAAGTTATATAACAACATTTATTGAATAAGTGAGTAAATGAACCCACTATAGCTATTACAATGTACATATTACTTAGTGACTCATATCCTGGGGAAATACGGATTTGCACGAAGTATCATGAATAAGTTAATGGCAAGGTATTCAAAGCATCCGCATTCAGTGTGGACAGACTTTTAAAGGAGAGCTCTAACACACAGAGAAAAATGTTGGATTATTTGGGCAAGACATACTATTAGACCCTGGCTGGTTTAGCTTAGTGGTTAGAGCGTTGGTCCAAGGACTGAAGGGACTTGGGTTTGATTCTGGTCAAGGGCATGCACCTGGGTTGCAGGTTCGATTCCTGGCCCCAGTTGGAGTCTTGTGGGAGGCAATCAATCACATTGTCTCTCTCACATCAATGTCTGTCTGTCTGTCTCAATCACATTGTCTCTCTCACATCAATGTCTGTCTGTCTGTCTGTCTGTCTGTCTCTCTCTCTCTCTCTCTCTTTCTCTTTCTCTCTCCCTCTCCCTCCCTTCCTTCCACTCTCTCTGAAAATCAAGGGGAAAATATCCTCTGGTGAGGATTAACTAAAATTAAAAAAAGACACACTATTAGTCATAAGGCAATCATGAAAAAGTAAACACATGCAATAGGTGATAGTAATAGATGTCACACCCTGGCTGGAAATAAAACTATGTTTGTATAAGGCAGTAACTGAGAAGTCTAGAAATACGTGATCCTTGACGGGCAGATATAAAAAAGAATGCACATCAAAAGAGATCAGCGTTTGTTTCCTAACTGGAGTTAGAAGAAAGTGGTTTGAGAATGGCAAAACCCTCACAACCTCACTACCTAATAGAGAATGATAACACTTATTAAAATGGTTTGTAGTCGCTCGTAAAGTTTATTTACATTGCTTTTTATCTCTTTTTGCAATTCTAGAAAAGAGACTGCCCACTAGATTTCAGGCAATGGTTATGCAAATCAACTGAAATGGATAATCAGGTTCTCGGAGAATGGAGTGTCTAATTACCCAATATGGGGGGGGTGTCATTTACCTGAACTTTTTACACAGTTATCTGTTTTGCTCAACTGGACCTTGTGCTGGTTTATTTGGCCGCTGTGATGTCTAAAGGATTTAGCTAGTGGAAACGTGAGAATTACGGCACCATGACGAAAGTGACATGAATGAAACAATGAACCCAGATGCCGGTTCACTGATACACACCAGCCACTTGTGAATGGTTTCCAAGCCTACTCTCTTTAGGTTGGACGATCGCCCCAGGGAGTTTCACCCTTTCTTACCCTAGGCAAACCCTGGGTTCCTGGACTGAAAACACACGGAAGCCTAGGGAGTCGGGAGTGTAGGAAGAGGTACCTTCATGACAAAGAAGAGGAAAATGATGATGACGACGTTGACCTGAGGGTGGATCCACACAGCTGACTGCCCCAGGCTCTCAGGGTCCCCCACGTATTTCACCCACGTGTTGTTGTCAAACAGGGTGCTGATGGCTTCGCGAGGCATCAGCTGTGAGGGGAGGAAGCAAACGGGGATTGGTCCTCCAGGGATGCTCGGTCCTCCCTCTTTTTAGAGAACCGACTCCCAGTCTCACTTCTCAAAGGTTCCTTCTTCTCTTTTCGCAGGGGTAGACTTCATCCTTGGCCCAAAGTACATATGCTCAGAAGCCTGAGGGACAGCTGTGCTGTTTCCCCTTTTCCACGTGGCCTCACCGGGACCTCCACGACCTGACCCCACCCTCAGAGTCCCTTGCGGCTCACCTCTCCGGCCATGAACTGGCCCATTCCTGGCGGGAAGGTGAAGGAGGCGATGACAAAGGTGACAATTCCAGGATACAGCAGGCGGCTGAAAAGGAAACAGAACGACCGGTCCCCTGGATTTAGCCCATCCATAGTGGACACCACCCTGAGCCCTGGGAAGCTGAAGTTTCCCGTGGTCCACGCTGTCCTTTAAACAGAGCATTCTCTCCGCCAAAATGCCACCTTTAAAGGGGAAGCCACACCACACGCCCCTCCACACGGTATCGGGGCTTCTGTAGTTCATCACAAGCCACCGAAAGGCATTTCGGGCCCTTCCACAAAGATTGAAAAAGAGAAACCACCGTGGAGAAACCCGAAGGTAAGCGGGGAGGGCGCAGGAAGGGTGGTGACTCACTGCTTAGCGAGAAACTGGCTGAGGGCCTTGTTCTTTCGGACACCGAGCATGACTTGGCGGTGCAGATACACAAACACAGCTCCCAGGAACCCACAGCAAATCCTGAGGTGCAAATGAGACAGAAATGAAACCCTCACCCCTCGGTCCTAGCCGTGGGGGGACGGGCACCAGGCATCTGCTTTCCCTTTCTACACCGCGCCCCCGACAACTCACACTTCACCCATGCGCACCCCACCTTCTTCTCAGCGTGGGTCCCTTCCAATCCAAAGCCACACCCACCCCCAGCTCACCACTCCCTGAGCAGGTGACCCCACTGACCCGATGACAGCAAAGGCTGGGAGCTCCTGCAGGTCAAAGGGGAAATCCATCCGGAAATTGGTTCGGAAGAGGGCAGTGATGGTGTCTACAGGGTGGAGGGCACGGGCGATGGCGCGGGTGTCACAGAAACCCACCGAGGGAAAAGCAGAGGTCATCAGCTTTAAGGATGAGCTCCTTCTTCCTCTAAGCCCAGTGTCTCCTCTTCTTTTTCATTTCTTTTTTCTATGCACAAGCAGTACCCCCTACTCTCAGACCTATCTCCTTGTTCCAAATAAGGCCATCTATTCCCCTCCTGCACTGCCCTACAGAGCTTCCCTCCACCCCCTTCCAAGCCTCCCTACCCCGTGCCTCCGCCCAGGGCCTCCTTACCAGCATCCTTGTTCCACACGGCCAGCACGCGGAACACAAAGGCACTGAACGTGGCTGCGAAGAACCCTCGCCAGTAATTGCTCACAGCAAAGTAGGTGGAGGTGACCTCGATGCTGAACAGCACTCCTGCAGGGCACGCATGCAGGGTCAGGTGCAAACAGATGTGAAAGGCTGTCTCCCACACACCCACCCCGTGGACCTCTGGACGCCCGTGCTTAATCCATCCCGTCTTGGAGTCCATGCACGAAACCATATTCCTAATCATGGGGGCAGCATTGTGCAGGCCAGGGATGTGGTTCAACAAGACACAGAGAGGATGAGAAATGGGGGGCCCTCAACCCACACAACAAGAGGATCAGGTGGTCGTGCATGCTCTCTCCATCCCTTAGAAAGTAGGGTCGGGTGAGATTCACAACGTCAGATATCCACAAGGAGTTAAGGGTCACCGAACTTTTTCTGCAGAAAAGTTACGAGAGCAAAATCACCCAGAGCAGGTGATCACCAGAGGTGCCGAGAAGAGCTCAGGACTGCAGGGACTCTCCTTAGCATCCCACTCATCTTTCCTCCCTCCTCCCAGGTACCAAGTACCTTAGGGCAACTTGATAAGGAAGAAGTAAGAAAAATAAATAGGGAAGGTCCTCATAAGAGCTGACAGCACTCAATATTCCCAGTAAATAGAGTGGAGGATTCACCCACATTTAAAAAAAATTAATAATTTGACTTAAAAGGACCGAAACAAGGGGGAAAACGAAGAGGCAAGAAGTTCAAAATAACTGTGCTTACAAAGGGCGGGTGAGGTAGAGGGAAGGGTAATGAACAGTCCTGAGCAGTGCTGCTTCCGAGAGAAGGCGCCGTGCAGGAAAGAGGAGGTGGATTATAGAATAATAGCAAGCCCTGGCTGGTTTGGCTCAGCGGTTAGAGCGTCGGCCCGTGGACCAAAGAGTCGCAGGATCGATTCCGGCCAAGAGCATGTACCTCGGTTGCGGTTCCGTCCCGGCCCCTGTCGGGGTGGTGCAGGAGGCAACCAATTGGTGTGTCTCTCTCACATTGACGTCTCTCTCCATCCCTCCCACTCTATCTGAACATAAATGGGTGAGGATTAAAAAATTAAAAAAAAAAATAGCAAAGGGTTGGAGGGGACATAACACCAACAAGGGCACAGAAAGCAAGGTTCAGGGGGTGTGAAGCAAAGGATCTTGAACCATATTAAGAAAAAAGGAGGGGACTTTGATACAAAGTAAAACTCAACGACAAAATTACCTAAATCCTAACAAAGCCTCATCTTGATCAAAAACAAAGAAGGAACACCGGGGAAATACAGCCCCTAATTAGATGAATGCAGAAGAGGCATGGCCCCAAGAAAGACCATGAAATAGGTCAAGCTGGTCACCTCCTTTCTTTCCATGGTGACCATCGGTGGTTGTCCTATAAAGACCCCCCCCCCAACCCGCCGCCACCAGCTTCCCTCTTCAGGTAGCATCTTATATCCTAGCCACTTTCTTCTCCCTGTTCTATATCCAAAGTCCCATCTTTTGAATCCCTCAGGACCCCTGTCCCTCCCTCCCATAGGTGGCAGCCAACAGTTAGAGTGAGTCACTTGTACCAACAGGAAGGGGGCCTGATGGTAACTCGGTCACGGAGTGGCTACAGCATTCTGACAGAGGACTCCTAGAGGTCAGCTCAGATGTCCCCTTCTCTGGGAAGCCATCCCTGATCCCCCTCCTCAGGTAGAAACAGTCCCTCCCTCACCTGGTTCTTTCATAGTTTTGAACCACCAGAGCGCTTACCACGCTCCTGTGTAGTTATTCGTTTACATCTCTGAGTTGCACCCAGGACTGAAAGTGTCTTGGACCCCCAACACCTAATACAGTGCCTGGTACAAAATCGGGGCTCCACATCTGTCCTACGGATGGACAGGAGAGGAGAGGGAAAGAGCGGGGTAAAGGGGAGAAGAGAGGAAGAAAGGGAAGAACAGAGGAGAATAGAATGGGTGGAATTTCAGAAAACTGAGTGAGGGAACGGGGAATCTGGGGCAGACAGCTTTGCCAACCACCCTTCTGCCCCTGCTCCTCAGATGGCACCACATAGGACAGCTGCCTTCTTGCCTTAAAAGGAGGATCTGACACAGCAGAGGAGCAGGTGGAGAAAGTCTCTCTCCTTTACCAGTTAATAGAAGCAAAGTCGGCTTTGATCTGTCTGGATTTACACGATCCAACTTATGAATATTTTACAAGCATTTTTTGAGATCCTAGGCTGGATTTTCTTTCCCACCATGTGAAAAAGACACTTCCCCTAACCGTCTGTCACTGTATACTCAGGAATGAGAACTAATTTTAATATTAACCCAAGCCAAACAGAAAACGTGCTACCGCAGGGAAACAAGGCAGGAAAAACACAAACAGCCCCTGGAAGCACTCTGATCTCGCCAGTTCCGTAACATCCTCCCTTCTCCCACTCCCTTCTTCTCGGCTCTTCTCTGCCTCCTTCGCCTCTGCCCAACCCAGGGCCTTGGCCTTGGTGCCCTCTTCTTGCTACTCACAGACACACTTCGACTATCAAGTTCATTTATGCCCATGGATTCAACCAGCACCTCCCAGCAGCTACTGGTTAGAAAGCTATGGTTTCGGCCCAGTTCCTGTACTTCAGGCTTCCAACCCGCTGCCTGTTCGGCGTCCCTGGGGTAGGCCACAGGGACTTCAAATGCCACACGTGCAAAGTGAAAATGATCAACTCCCCTGGCCTGCTTTACTTCCTATATTCCCTGTCTCGGTCATTTCCACTAGTCACCTAGGTTTCCTTGTTATAAACTTGAGAGCTTGCCCACATTCCTCCTTCTGTCTCTTCCTTCATACCCGCGCATAAGATCAATCACCGGCCCTGGCCGGTTTGGCTCAGCGGTGAGAGCATCGGCCTGCGGTCCAGAGAGACCCGGGTTCGGTTCCCGCTAAGGGCACGTATCTCAGTTGCAGTTTGTCCCCGGCCCTGGTTGGCTTGTGCGGGTGGCAGCCACTTGATGTGTCCCTTTCATGTTGATGTCTCTCTCTCTCTCTCTCTCTTCCTCTCTCCCACTCTATCTGAACAAAAACGAAAAAAGAAAAGAAAAAAAAATCAATCACTAGGTAGCAGCGGTTTTCTTTTCTTTTCTTTTTTTTTTTTTTTGATCCTCACTTGAAGACATTTTTCCATTGATTTTTAGATAGAGTGAAAGGGAGGGGGAGGGGAGAGAGAGAGAAACATTGATGTAAGAAAGACATTGATTGGTTGCCTCTACATGACCCTGACTGGGGCCAGGGATCAAACCTGCAACCCAGGTATGTGCCATTGACCAGGAATCAAACCCATGACCCTTCAGTCCAAGGGCTGATGCTCTAACCATTGAGCCAAACCAGCCAGGACAATTTTACTTTCTATGGCCCATTATATCATCTTCATCTCTGTCTCTTCTGCTCTGCCCAGTTCAGTCTCTCATCATCTGGCATCACTACAAGGACAGTAATCTTCTTGTTCGTCTTGGATCGAACCTGTTAATCCACAGGCCAGTCCTGCACACACAGGTTAAAGGGACCGGATCACCATGCAAAGCTGGCCACGTCACTTCCTTGTTCAGAATCCTCCCATGGCTCCCTTCACTCGTGAGAACATTTCCCAAAGTCAGGTGCATGAGATGCTATGAGCCCCTTGAGAAGGTCCTTGCAAAAGGGGTTCTGCGGGGTTGCCAGGTGGGAGTGGGGGTGGGGAGTCTGGGTGAAAAAGGACAAGGGATTAACAAGTACATATCGGCAGTTACAACATAGCCACAGGGACGTAAAGCACAGCATAGAGAATATAGTCATTAATATTGTAATAACTACATACGGTGGCAGGTGGGTACTAGACTTAGCGGGGGACCACTTTATAAGTTAAATAAATGTCTAGCCACTATGCGGTACACCTGAAATTAATATAATAATAAATTTCATTGATAATTGAAAAAGAAAAGAGTTAAAAAGAAAAGTAAATTTTAAAAAAGGAGGGTTCTATGGGAAATACTGAATTCGAGCCACATTTTCGATAATTCGCAAAGCACGTCAGCATATCAAACATTCTGGTAACTTTTCCAGTTTAAATAACACAGCCTTTTCCCACTTATGTGACCTCAGGACCCTTTTGGCATGTTCCATCCATTAACACTGCGAACACTGTGTTCTGTAAAGACACGTTTGGGCAAATTCTAGCCTAGAGAAAAAACAAAGTCTACTTTCTTTTTTTTTTTTTTTTTTATCCTCACCTGAGGACATTTTTTCCATTTTTTGTTCAGATAGAGCAGGAAGGAGAGAGAGGAAGAGAGAGAGAGAGAAACATTGATGTGAAGGGACACATCGAGTGGCTGCCACCTGCACGACCAACCAGGGCCGGGGACAAACTGCAACTGAGATATGTGCCCTTAGCGGGAACCGAACACGGGTCTCTCTGGACCGCAGGCTGACGCTCCAACCGCTGAGCCAAACCGGCCAGGGCCAAAGTCTACTTTCTTATGCAAGGCCTACGAGGACTTTCATGAGTCAGCCTCCATTTACCTGTGCAGACTCCTTTCCTGATATCCCCTCCCCCACCCTGCATCTTCTAGCCGTACTCATGGACTGTCATTGTAGCCCCCAGAGCTTTGCAATGCGGTTTTCTGTCCAGCAGACCCTGCCTGCGCTGTCTTCCTTGACTGTCAGGTCAAACACTATGTCTTTTGTAAAGCTCCATTGCCAACTCCCACGCCTACCCAGGCAGCTTAGCAGAAGGTTCCCACTGCACATGCCCAGGCTGCCATGGAGACACTTCTGTGAGTGACAGCCAGCTTGCCTGCCTGTCCACCCTTTCAAGGTGAGCTCCCTGAGAGCACAGGATTCAGCACAGGGCCCAGAGGGCAGCACGGAGCACACATAATGGAAGCAAAAAGATGCCTGTCATTTCGGTAGACTGTTGACGTCACTCTCTTCATTGGTCTAAGCCTGTGAGGAATTAACAGTTGACTAGATACGTTACCTCAATACTGATTTTTCTTGCAGTTAGTCTGTGTTCATGAAATAAAACCAGTCAAGTGATGTTCCCTGCAAGTCCATGTGACACTTGTCATTTAACACCAACATTCTGAAAGCGGCATCCTAACTTTCCAATGCCTAACATTTTCTCGTGCGTGTCAAGAGCAATGTTTTGTTTGTTTGTTTCTGTGGGCGTCGAACCATGTTTACCTGTAACTTTCCATGGTCTTTCCTACCCTCTACACAGGGCGAGAAACACCTTCCCCCTTCATCCCAGACATTCCAATTTTAGGCAGAAAATTAAATTCTCTCTCTTTTTTAAAATTTTAGAATATCATTTTTTTTTCCTTTATTGATTTTTTTAGAGAGAGAGAAGAAGGGAGAGGGAAAGGAGAGAAAGACAGAAACATTGATGAGAGAGAACATCAATTGGCCGCCTCCTGCATGCCCCCCACTGGGGATCGGGCCCACAACCTGGGCATGTGCCCTGACCGTCAAACCAGAGACCTCTTGGTGCATGGGTCGATGCTCAACCACTGAGCCACACCAGCCAGATAAGATTCTCTTTACTTTAAAAGAATCTAAGTAAAAAAAATTTTTTTACTTGTCTAAAAATGTTTAGCTTTTTCTGGACTTGTGAGGGGAAGGAGTAAATAAAGGTGAAATGGGAATAGATGTTAAGTGGGAAATGTAATGCGTGTAGAAATTCCAACACACTACCCTTCATGGATGGGGACCAATGACTCTAATGACAAGCGCCGACGACAGAAGGGCAAGCAGGGTGCCCGCTGAGGTGTTCGCTGACCTCACCTCCTTACACGGCGCACACTGGCACAGCGTCAGAACGAGGGAACATGCTGCATTTTCATTAACTCTGAATGCTCATCCCTGTATCCTTCCTGGGCCAAGCCGTTTCAGCTACCGGAAGACTCCTCTACAAAAGGGCTCATCCCATGTTCGTAATTGAAAAGACACCTCTAACCGCTGGTGCGTCTAAGAAGCACATGCTTTTCCTGCAATTTTGTGTCTCCAATTGTCAACTGGGTGTCCTTTCTGCCACCGATGGATCCAATGACTGGTCGATATAATCCCTGTTCTGTGGGTCTGGTTACAACGGATATTGATGAGTAAACGAACACATACAACTGCTTTCTCTGACCATGCCTACTGGTGAGTCACCCAGGACAAGGACAGTAACCTGCTCCGTCCCCTATGATCTCGGCCTCATACGGCCTTTGGCAGAAATGCGCGGGGAGTGCTGAGAAGCTTGCCTGCACACGGTCAGTGCTCACTAGTGTGCTGTTCTAGTCACACCCTTGTTTTAACCGGTAATGCTCATACTTGGGGATGCTGACAACTGCTTGGGGAGGAAGGTCAGGCAAGGGGACTGGAGAGAAGGGGCAAAGCACTTGCCTCCAAGCGGGGTCCCAAAGCAGCAGCCGACTCCCACGGCGCAGCCCACCGTCAGCATGTCGGTGTAATAGTATGGCTGCTACTAGGGGAGAGACGGACGAGAGAGGGAGGGGGGGTGAAGAGGGAGGGCAGAGAGAGGAAAGGAGGGGCTTCAGTCCCAGGGAATCACAGTGGGCCCACTGCCCCCTCCAATTCCCAGGCCAAGACAGGAAGAGTGACCTCATAGCACAGGAAATGAAATAAAAGTTGGCAAACATATGGAGAGCAGGTAAGCCAATAAATGATCACCAGCATGAGGCTGGAGATGGGGACAATCGGGAGAGGAATGTCAATAGCGGGAGCGACAGGAAAGGGCTCCGGACGAACTGCACTACCGATCAAGCTTGCATGACACAGACGTCAGCCTCAGCAGCTCTCCGGTAGAAGAGTGTGGGTACCTGGAGAGCAGGGTAGAGGCCCACCCACCAGTCTCTTCAACGAGCACCCTCTTCCACCCCAAAGCTGTGGCAGCCACCCACACCCCCTTCCAAGTCACGCTCAGGAAACTGGGGGGAGGGGAGACTGGGACTTGCCTCAGACAGTAGCTGCAAAGCAGCCTCCCACGCCCACTGTGCAGGCCGACACCACGAGATCAAGCTGTCTGCAACAGAGAGCACGCAGGACCAGCAGGCCAGAGGGCTGGGGTACGAGAGCAGTCTTAAGAGAGAAGGGGTGGGGAACCGGGGGACAGGGCAGCACAGGAGGGAATCAGGGAGGGGAACTGACATGGGGTGTGGACTGCCAGGGTAGCAGAGGAGTGGGCTCCAATGCAGGGGTGCAGAGCAAGAAAGGGGGGACATTACTGGACAGACACAGGCCAAACAGAGGCGTCAGGTGGCAAGGAGAGCAGTGGGGGTGTGTGGAGAACAGGGGAGCATGGATTAGCGCCATGCCCCTTTCAGCATTGAGGCCAGCCCGGAGCAAAGCCAGACCTCCTGACACCCTGCGCACGCACAGCCCTACCTCGTTCGACTTTCTCAACCTTACCTCGTATACCCCGGAGAATACAGACATAAACTTGCTGAGGACGGCAGCACAGATGCTGGCGATGTGGACAAAAGGGCCCTGGGAGAGACGGAGGGGAGAGGTCAGGAGCAGGGTTCCGGTGGGAGGCTTTGCAGCATTCCCGGCTCCAGCAGTCATTGCTCCAGGCACTGTCCTCGGTGCTGGAAACACGAGTGGGTAACGCAAGCTCTGCCCCATTGGAGCTTTATCCCAGAGAGGAAGGGAGGTACCACACCACCATTTATCATTTTAGAAACTTCTAGCCCAGCCGGTGTGGCCCAATGGTTGAGCGTCAACCCATGCACCAAGAGGTCGCCAGTTCGATTCCCGGTCTGGGCACGTGCCCAGGTCGTGGGCCCGATCCCCAGTGAGGGGCATACAGGAGGCGGCCAATCGATGTTCTCTCTTATCCATGTTTCTATGTCTCTTTCCCTCTCCCCTCCTCTCTCTCTAAAATCAATAAAGGACAAAAAATAAAAAGAGACTTCTAAAGGCTAGGAAGAAACTGAGGGAGGGCAAGGGTACGAGAGGCAGGACAGATGAGGTGGGATGGCGAACGTGGTTCGAGAAAGTGCCAGGGACAGTCACAGATGAGTAGTGCCTTATTGAAACGAGGGCGCGGGCCATGTGGGCGTCAGGAGGGAGAAAGCTCCAGGCTGAGGGCCCAGCAAGTGCAGGAGCCCAGAGACAGGAGCACGTTTGCACAGTTGAGGGCCAGGAAGGAGGCCTTGTCACCCCAAACCAGTGAGTGCAGAGCAGCCTGGCAGCATAGAAGAGAGACGGGGGGAGCCAGGTCACCACAGGCCTCCGAGGCCCAGAGGGACGTTCGGACTGTATGTTAAGAATAAAAAGCTATTAGAAGCTCTTGAGCAGAGGTCAGACATTACGGATTCCACTTTGAAAAGAGGACTCTGGCTGCTGTGTGGATGACTGTCGCAGGACAAGAATGCGCTTGAGTATAACCTTGAAAAGAGCACAGCCTGTCTCTAGGTCTCAGATTTTGCAAATTAAAACAAGGGCATTGGTCTGGAGTGTCTCTAAGGCAGTGGTCTTCAGCTGGGGAGGATGCCCCCACCCCCTGCCCCAGGGGACATCTGACAATGTCTACAGGCATTCTGGTTGTCACAACTGGAGGCTGCTACTGACATCCAGGGGGCAGAGCCCAGGGGTGCTGCTAAACATCCCACCATGCACAGAACCAATATTAGGAGGCCCAAAACGTCAACAGTGCCCAGGTTGGGAGGTGGCTCTAAGCTCTGATGCTTGTTATTCTGCCCCAGGACAAGCCTTTCCCATGTATTTCCCCTCCCCCATTCCCCTTGGTCCCCTGGTCCTGCCTCTTGTCCTTGTGCCTGTGTCCATGTCTGCTCCTAGGGCCACCCTCTGCCCAGCTCACGCTTCAGTGACTGCCACCTACCTCCTTCCCCACAGGAATGCCACTGCCCAGCCCGGCAGTCAGGGCCACAACCTTGGCCACGAAGGCCTTGATGGTGAGATACTCCTTCAGGATGACCCCGCGAAGTATTGTCTTCATCTCAGGGATCCCAGAGCCTACAAGGGTTACAACACGACTGCGAGCAGGTTCGAGCGGGAGGTTAAAGGGAGATGAACATCCAGACCGAGGACACGGGGCGGGGGTGGGGCAGGGAGGGGGCTGTGGGGGTCAACAGGCCCAGGTGGGGCGCAGGTGGGGCGGAAGGGTCAACGGGACGAGACACGGGAGGCTGGGGGAGGGGGGGAGTGCTCACCAACAGCCTGGGGAGAGATGAGGTGGCAAAAGAGGGCGCTGAAGAGGATGAGCAGCAGCGGGAAGGTGACCCACACCAGGAACTGCAGCGGCAGGCTGGGCTGCACCTGGCGGTAGGTCCACTTGTAGGCTGCGGAGACACAGGAGACACGGCCTGCGCTCAGGCCCCGCGCACGCGAGGTCGCCGCCCACCCGCCGCGCAGGACCCGGTGCCAGGGGCCCGCCCTCACGGGTTCTCCCGCTGAACCTCGGGAGATGCTACTCTTTTCATCTGACGCATGCGTGGGAAACCCGAGGGGCTGGAGATGCCCTGTCCGGTTCCAGCTCCCACCACTCGTAGGAGGTGGAGTCCCTGCTGCAAACTACACTGGAGCTGGGATGGCGGCCAAGGTGTCAGTGGCCACAGGGATGACCAGCCACCTCGGTTTGCCCGGAACTGAGGGGCTCCTGGGTTCCAGGATGTCTGGTGCCCCAATCGGGGAGCGTCCTGGGAAAACTGGGGTGAGGATTAGAGAGGCATCCCCAGCTTGGCTGGTGGCAGGTGGTGGGGGGCAGTGGAAATGGATCCGGGTCTGTCTGGTCTGGTCTAGGCCTGACCTCTGTGCAAAGACCCCTCTGCAAACACCCCAGCTCGTCCTAGGTGGAAACTCTAGACACATTCACGGCTCGGGGCAGGCCGAGGGGACGGGCCAGGTGGAACTTACCCTGAAGGGTTTTGGCGCTAACATAGTCCATGCACCAGCTAACCAGAGCCATAAGCAGTCCCAGGAGCACCAGAAAGATCCAGTCTTCCCCCAACTTCCTCCTCATCACGCGTCCCAGGCGGTAGATGCAATCTAGGGAGAGAATGGGGCCAAGAAGCCTGGTAACCAGTCACTGCCCAGGCATGTGACTGAGGACAGGAGGTCTCCTCTCTAGGTCTCATCCACTTAGGGGCTTGTCTGTGCGTCTCATTCACCCAGTTTCTCTTCACCTCTCTGCCAGGTGCTGCCCTGCCGCGTCCAAAGGCACTGAAGTCCAGTGCCCTACTGGGCTCTTGGATTCTTTTCTGAAACTCATTTCTTGGGGCTGGGTGGGAGGGAAAGTGGGGAACGAGGCAAGTGAGAAGGAAGAGGGGAGAGATGCCTCTCAATAGTGGGAGGAAGGCTTTGGGGTGAACATGGGGAGAGGAAGGATGGGGTGTATGTAGTGGGACATCTGAGCTATCCTCCTAAGCCCTGTCCCTCCTTCTAGTCCAGATTCTTGGATTCCTTGGGCCGCATCACCTTGACATTTAGAATAGTGGTCCTCATCTGTGCTGTCCATGGTCACACTGGAGCCCATCTTCTCGGGCATCTCCACGTCCTGCTCCTTGTGTGCGAATTGCTCTCTGTGATGGCCGTAAATCTGGACAGAGGGAGAATGGGAGATGCCTGTCTTGCAAGAGTCCAAAGGAGTAGAGGGAAGCAGATAGAGCCACAGAAACAAACAGCCTTTTAAAATCCTGGCCGTTGAGGGCCTCATGCAGGGTACTCTGTGGTTCTCCCGGCCCTCCACTCCCCACTGCCCTCCACACCTTTCCTGCTCTGTACCCTTGTCTGTTCATCCTCGCCCTTCCTCCGTCCATGCTCACCCTGGTTGATGGCAGCCTCCCTCAAGGAGGCCAATTTCTACTCTGAGGTGCAGATAGAAGAACTGTGCATGTGTGTCCATTAGAAGTTTTCTGTGTCGCTCTGCTTATTGTGTCTCAGCCTGTCTCTTCGATGTCCCCAGACACCTCACCCCCTGACGTCCCTCCTAGGAGTCCTGACATGGACGGGATGAGGACAGACCAGCAGGTGACTCGGCTGCACTGTGCCTTAGTGTGTGCAGCCTTACCGAAGGGCCCTCAGATGCTCCCCCAAGCTTAGAGAAAGCGCACCCCTCCCTCCTCGGATTTGTAAGCACAAACAGAAACCAGCTCGGAGGAGGCAAGTCAATCCACTGCTTCCCAGAGCAGGGAACTAGATGCTCCTCAAAATGTGAACAGGGTGAGGGAGGGCCCCTCTGCTTTCTTCCCCAGGTAGCCTGCCCTGCCCCGCTGCACCGAGGCCCTCCCTCTGGGGCCCGGGTCAGGCCGGGCCATGTTCTGCTGCTTCTGGGAGCGCCTGTGTGGAAGAGATCTGATTTCACAGTGTGCGCAGCGGGGCTGAAGCCGGAGTAGTGGGCAGGCACGCACTAACTGCCCTGCTCACGGCCGTTCCACCTACGGGAGTGAGGTCAGTGATCGAAGGAGGTGGCGTTTCCATCCACACCCCACCTGGACACAGCGGGAGGACACTACTTCCAGTGGCCCTCAGTGACGCCCTTCCACAGGCTCTCGCTCCCTGGTCCCAGGCTGGTGGAGATGAGGAAGAGGGGTGCTCCATTCCAAGCCCCAGAAACACGCAAGGAGCCAGATCCGTGCCAGCTGGTTCAGGGCTAAGCACCACAGCAGAGCAGCGGTGGGCGGACCTGGGCCTGGTGGCCCTGTGTGGGGGTGCTGTGTGCGGGCGAGGGTGTGAGGGAACTGCAGGCGCTAGGCATGGCTCCCCGGCAGTCACTGGTGTAGCTTATGTAAGCATGATCTGCTCATGCATGTGTGGCTTTGCCGTCCCCATAGGATTCGAGAGATCTGCTGGGAAAGGTTATGTAAAAGGACTTGTGTGCACTGAGCTGGGCCCGGCCCTCCGCAGAATCATCATATTTTGAACACATTGCCAGGTCATTTTTAAGTTAAAAAAAAGTAACACTGCTCCTTCTTTTTGCCCAATTCCTAATTCCCCCCCACCTGTCACACCTGTGACTCTTCCCACCCGCCACCCCTCCCCTGAAGACTTTACCTGTGTAGGGTGGGCGTTGGGACGGGACCCTGCATCCCTCGGGGGCCTGTGCTGGAGGCCCCCATTTTCTGAGGGCAGTCCGTAGCTGGTGCAGTGTTCAAAGGGCATGTACTGGTACTGGGGGGCACTACCCCACCAGTTTTGTTCGCCCCCACGCCGCTGGGACTCAGATGGCTTCATGCTCCCTCCCCCACCAGGCCTGGGCCTGCTTGCCCCTGTTCAACCCCCAGGACAGCTCCTTAAGCCTGTCCTCTTGCCTGTCCCCAAGGCGTCTGGGGCAGCATGCCCACCCCCAGCTATTTATAGCCATCTCTCCATCACATGACCCCCCCCACTGCCACATCTGATCTGCTTGGGGTCGAAGCAGGTGTGAGAGCCGTGTGGGGGAGGGGCTGGGGTGAGAACCTGAGGGACAGCCCCCCAGGGAATTCCCTCCGCAGGGCAGCAGCACTGGCCCCTTCCTTAGTGGCCAGGAGGCTTCCAGCCCCAAGCCACTGGTCCCTCTATAAATACCGCCCAGACCAGGATGGAAAACTACTTAGCATGCGCTCAAACCTGTGGCTCCCAGGGCGTGTTAAACCTACACCACCCGAGTCCCGCCTCTCCTGCCGAGTGTGGGAGGCCAGGCTGCAGTACTGGGTGGAGGGGTTCCAAGGTGTGGGAACACTGGAGGGTAACTCACCTTGGGGAGCAGCTGCTGCCTCTCTGCCATCTTCCCTGCTCCGCCTCTTCCCACGGTTTAGTCCTCCTCTGAAGGACCACCTCTCCCAACCCATCCAGTGTACAGTTTTTCCCTCCAGGCCTGCCTTTTCTGCCAGGGGCTTCTACTAATGCTTTCGTGCCCTCCCGAGACCCCACCTCATCCGTTCCCACTGGGTGTGGGGCGCCGTGGGGAGCAGGGTGATAGCCTTGGCGTCTGGGGTTTCTCCCACTTCCCAGACTGAGAAGTGTCAGCCCCACCAGCAGCCTGGAGATGGGACTTCCGTGTGGATGGAGGAGCGCCCACCTGTCTAGCTAGTCAGGTGAGATAACCGGGGGACGGGATGTGGGCCACAGGCCGGGAGACGCAGAGGAGGGGCAGTGAGTACTTCTCACGAAAGCCCACAAATAAATACAAACAGTGATGGGAAGTGTTCTACTACTCTTCCCCTTTTGGGGCCAATATATCGTTTTTGGCCAAGGACAAACTATCGGGCATCACTTTTTTTCCCTTTTCTTTTGCCAATTTTCCTACTACACTCTTGTCTGTGAACTCCTCACTATAAAAGAAAAGTTGTAAATACAGCCGATGTGCAGTCTAGGGTCCATCACCAAGTGAGGTCTGTCCCAGGAGCACTAAACATCTGGTCTACAGCTAACATCTGGTCTACAAGTAAATTTGGATCTAGGCTACATGGATGTGTCTAAAGCAGGTGGGATGATGTACCTTTTCTAATGTAAATCCTCCAAGCCCCGAGGCCTATAATTCACCCGCAAAGATAAACGTGCCCATTTGAGGGACTGAGGTTCTGTGATATCTACCATGACTGCAGGCAGAAAGTGAGGAGAGAGTTCTGAGGGGTTGGTACGAGATGGAAGGAATATTCTCTTAAAGAAAATATAGTGCCTAAGTGAAATTGATTTATTTGGAGCAGGGGGTTTTTCAGAAACAGGCAAGATTTTTAACTGTTTGTAGACTACGGCTCTCCTGAAGGTAGCCAGTTTTTGTAGGGTCTTGATAACCCCAAGATACACATACCTAAGCCCATTTCTATTTCTTCACTATTCCGGATAAAGTCAGGGCCTGGTCATGGGTCCCGAGGCCTGGAGGCAGAGATTGGCGGGACTGGGGAAGCCCTCACACTTGACCAAGCCAAACAGAAACACCAGCTGCAATTCTGAAAACCAGATTCTGAAATGGGGGGGGTGTCAAGGAAATTTGGGGGGAGGGCTAGTGCAGAATGTGAGAGGAATAACCTTGAGTCTATGATTATGAACAGTTAAGATCTCATGGGTTATCTTTGTGCAAAAGAACAAGAGAATAAAATGTAGACCGTGCCCACCCCCACCCCACCCCGTCATGGGTACAGTGCTTAGTTCTTATTTGGATGGCCAAAGATGGATTTCTAGGGAGTCCTGTGAAAAGCTCCTAAACTTGGGAACAAATTCACAAGCATACATGTATTCTATAAGCTATGTATATACTATATAAGATACATATTCTTCTGAGATTTTAAATAGAGTTTCTTAAGGTCCATGCTACTAAAAGGTTAAAACCTATAGGTTTATGGAATTGCTATTTGAAGGTTCTCAAAAGTGACCAAATGGTAGTCATTTCTCCTCTAGTCCTTGGTGGACCTTGCCTCCCAGATCCTTTCAAAACCCGTGCTTCCTTCCCACGCCCTGCGCGAGGCCCTCCTGAGTGCACTGGACAGGTCTCTTTCTCCCTCTTCTGGTTTTTCAACCATGATGCACTTTCTTCCTATTCTCTCCCTAACTGGGGCTGAGATGGAATAATACCGTCTTTGGTCTCAGGTTTAGTCTCCCAGCTCAGTGGGAAAAATCTATAGCCCCCCACAAAGTGAGGAGGGAGAAAATCTCACTCTAGGAAAAATGTCACAGGTGAATATTTTTAGTTAAAGGCGCACCCTGAAGGTGACAGACCATTTCACATGCTGGCTTCAGTGTCCTCAGAAAGGCAGTGACTTGGAGGACGATGGAGAGAAAAGAATGCATGCAAAACAGTTACCATGGTGGTCCTAGCAGGGTGGCTCAGTTGGTTGGAGCGTTGTTTCATGCACCAAAAGGTTGGGGGTTCAATTCTAGTCAGGGCACATACCGAGGTTTCGATCCCTGCTCAGGGTATATATGGGAGGCAACCAATTGATGTTTCTCTCCCACATCGATGTTTCTTTCTCTCTCTCTCAAGTCAATAAAAACATATCCTCGGGTGGGGATTAAAAATAAGTTACCATAGTGTTTGGTCCCCGTAAGTACTGAATACGAATTCGTGTTATTCCACAGCTCCTTTGGTGAGACAGTGAACGTGTTAACACCCCACGCTTCACCGTACGGCGCACAGCGCAACCTCGGTTCTCACGCCGAATTCATTCCCAGGGCTGTTTGAGAAGCAATCTGTTGGAAAACCGAGTCATTTTTGCCCCATTAGAAATCGTGTAAATTGAATTAATCCGTTCCAGACCCCTCAATGATTCCATTTTGACCTTTCTTACAAGGAGTATGGGTCTGACGTACTGTTTCATCTGTGAGGAATACTTTTTCTTGAATTTGTTTCATCTGTGAAGGAATACTTTTTCTTGAATTCATCCAACCACCCCCACTAGCCTTACGCGCATCACATTCAGCGCTCGGTCCAGGTTTCAGGAAGGCAGTATGGGGTACCTTTGTGTTTTCACTCATCTTCGCCTCTGAAATGCTGTCACTGGCCAACTGCTTTCTGCCTGCCTGCGATCCATGTGTTGAGCTCTGGCATACCCTCAGCAACATCAGCACACTTGATGGCCTCTGTGTGTTTTAAAATTGTGCTGTCCATTTTATCAGGAGCAAAAGCAAAAAGCAAAACCACAACTCACTGCGGGGTAAACCGACTCCCATTCTCTCCTTTGTGGCCTGAGATGCATTTTGTCATCGGGTTGTCAGGTTGAGAACCGAAGTTTTGTTCGCACGTGGAGATTTTTTCACCCTGACCAACATGGTCGAGAACCAAGCTGTTTTGAGATGGGAGATGTTCGTGAACCGAGGTTTGACTGTATTTCATCCTCATAGGGACCTTTGAAGGTAAGAAACAATTTTTCTCATTCTTTAGCTCTGGGAGGCTGATGATCTGTGGGGTTAAGTACCTTAGCCAAGGTCGCTAGTATCTTAAAGGGCTGAGCCAGCATTCAGATCTGTGATTTCAAGTCCAAGCCCTTCAAGTTCCATTTCTTCCTTTTTTGTATAATCGAAGTCTCAGCCTCATTTTCCTCTTCTGGGAAATGGGAGTGACCCACTCGGGACTGTGGGAGGATGGGCAGGCTCCAAGCACAGTGCCCGCGACAGAGGCCGTTGTAGCTGTTATTAATGACTTCCTCCGAGGAGAGAGGCCTTCCCGGTTCACTTCTTCCTGCTCTCTGCCCCACGGGAGGAAACAGGCTGCAGGAGGGCAGCCCCTAGCTCAGGGAGGAGTAATTTTAGAAGAGAATCTCCTGGCAGAGGTTAGTGTGGGGGAAGGGAATAGACTGCAGATTCAACCTGACACCCTTATTCAAGGGCGGGGTGGGAAGGACGTGGAACCGGGCTCAGGGACAGATGCTGCTCTATAATCCCCGTTTATCACACCCCCCAAAGCCTCCCTAGTCCGAGCTTGGGTACCTGTTATTCTTGCTATTCCAGAACGTTCTTATACCTCTCCTAGACTGTGTACCCCTTCCTCCCTCGAGGATACCCCGCTGTTCTTCAGTCCAGACAACCAGCTTCAGTCCACCCCTCGTGCCCTTTGCCCCCAGTGCCCTTCTCCGGCCAGCACTCTGCCCACCTGTGACAGGCTTCAGCGTGACGTAGCCCCTTTCTCCTTCCTCCTCTTCAGCTGTCCCCCAGGCCCGCTGCTACTTCCCACCAGTTATTCCCCACCTCTTGCTGAACCGCCATAGCCCCGTCTGCTGGTGCACTTGCCTTACCAGGTCTGCCCTTCAGACGCATCGCACCCCAAGAATCCCCCAAGTTACACACAGCCCCCCACTTAGATCTCACCCTGGCTGCCCTAGAATTCCTACCGCCTAGGCCCACCCCAGAAAATCTCAAAACCCAAACTGGACCATGTGAGGTAAAGAATTCGACAAGCCTCATCGTCCTCCAACTGCAGCCTGTCCTGTTTCTCAAGCCTTCACCCCGTGCTTGAGATAATCCAGAACCGACACCACTTGCTGAGGACTCTCCCGCCTCTTGACAGTGAGAAACCCCGTGCTGGCCGTATTCCAGGACTGTGGTCGTGACAAAGATGGGCTCATCTCAGGGGTGGCCCTGTACATATAAAAAACAACCTGGCAGCAAAATAAGGAGCATGCAAAGTAAGAGGCGTCACGATGACCTACAGAGACATCAGACGCACATCAGTAACAAATAGGAGCATTTATTTGGCACCTGATGGCAACACAACGTCCTGGCAATGGGAAGTGGAAAGGTTCTGTCACCCAAATACTTCCACGCAATACTGATCCAGGGCAGGCAGGGCTTGGTCATGAGTCTCCCAACCACCTGGCTCACAGGACGCCTCTTCACTGAGCACCTGAACTATTACACGGGCCGAGCGCTGTCAGGCTTTGAGGGAGATGTGGAGGAAGCTGTTTCACACCTGACATGTCTTCAGGGTTGATACATGAAAAATACAGAGTACAAATACCAAACTGTCTGTCTGCTGTCAAAAAGTAGGCTTCTAGCTAGGGCTGCTCCTTCAACATGTACTGGAGCCCCAACACGTGCCAGGCACTGGGTACATATTGGTCAACACGAGACAAAGCTCTTGCCCGCGTGAAGGAGACAGAGATGAACAAGGGAAGCAAGTAAATATATTACAGGTTATGAAAAGTACAATGAGAGAATTAAACAGGACAGTAATGAACACAGGTCATTTAGGGATAGAACAGCCGAGGAGGCCTCCACCCGTGCCACGGATGCCGAGCCTTGAAGATAAACCACCCAATCCAGGTGAGTGGTGCTCAGTCGACTCCGAGTGTCTGTCATGGTTCACGACAGGGAAGCTCGGAACATCTGCATTGGAGGGAGCCACTGGGCTGTCACTTAGAGACAAAGCAGCACTTAAGAAGTCTCAAAGGACAGGTGGGGCTTGTAGCCAAGGGAAGGAGTTTGGATTTTATTTAAGGTGTAATAAGAAATCAAAGGGTCCCAAGCAGGGGAGTGACAGAACCAGATTGATATTTAAAAACTAAAATCTGTCATCCAGACAGATTGGAGGGGACAAAAGTGAGGTCAGAGGCCTGTAAGCACAGACGAAGACAGCTCCCAGGGAAACGAACAGGTGTAGCCCCACAGCAAGGCCTCCCTGAGCAGACACGGGGGAAGGGAACGAGCCGTGTCGTCAAGGCGGCTGTAACACCGACACCGAAAGCAGGAGCAGGTACATGACCTCCTCGGGCAGCCAGGTGATCCGACTACGTAGTATTTCGGACAGATCTGGAGGCAGCAGTAACGGGGATGAGCGACGGGGAGGGGACAGGAAACAGGGAGATAACTGGGAAGCTCTACAGGAGGGACATTTCCTAGGAGGGAGAGAAGGTGGCCGGCGAGAACCCGAGGGAGCATGCCACCCTCACCTGCCTCTGCTGGCTCTCTGCCAGCTCCTTCCAGTGGAAGAGAAGAGATCTTTGGGCCTTCCCCGTGCAGACCAACAAGTTCCAGATACAAGGCATCTGCCCCTAACCTCTGTGAGAGCCGGATTCCTTGAGTCCCAAGGGGCCCAGAGGGGCACCAGGAAGACGGTCCTTGCAGGGGTGGCCTTGCTGCACCACAGGAATGCACAGGTCATCCCACACACAGCAGCAGTGTGTCCCTGGTCCTGTGCGTCCTTCCAAACTCTCCTCTGGGACATGTGGGGCTGGGATATGAAAGACAGATGACCTCTGCGACATCGTCACTGAAGCAATCAAAGCGATGACCAGTGTTACCTACAAAAGCCCCGGCAGGAAGTGAGCTCAGGTCCAGGAGACCCGCATGCTCTCCGCATAAACACGCAGTGCTCACAGTATCTGTTGCCAGCCAAAGGCTGCTAGCGACCAGTCCAGCTAGGGCCGACCCCCAGGAGAGAGCCAGCCTGCGGTCCCGGGGTCTGGACCCCTTGGCAAAGATGGCAGGCTGCGGATCAGCCCAGAAACGCACAGTGCCCGAGGGGGAGAACAGACAGTGTAATGCTGCCAAGGCTTCCGCACGCCCCCTGCTGCCCGGCGGTGGCGTCACGTGGGAGGGTGTCCTGGGAACAGATAGAGGTGCTGGCACAGGGTGCTGCAGTACTCTGACATCTCCTTGCAGCGGTGGAACTCCGTGCCAGGGGCGTAGCCCTCACGCTCCTTGATAAGTCTGTTCACCTGGAAAGGCAAAAACCAAGGTCCAAAGTCTGAGGATGTGGTGTTTCCACAGGAAGGGTGGCGAGATGGCGGTGCGGTGGAGGGAGGGGGGGAAGGTGTGCGCACAGGCTCGGGGCCGCAGCCCACTCACCTCGACAAGCATGTCGGCCACGTGCATGTCGCAAGCGCGCTCACAGAAGACTTGAGTGAGGGCCTCCACGTACCAGGAGCCCCGTTTGGTGTTCCGCATGGCAGCAGTCCCTGCAACCAGGACAGTGGTCGCAGTGTGAGGTCACCCTGGCACAGCTGGACCCCCCAAACCAGTCATCCACGGCAGCCTGCACCTGCCCCCACAGACAGCCCTCCATGAACAAGTGCCAGTCTATCGGAGGACGGAACAGTCGGACGCCCAGTACCTCTGAGGCAGGCATAGCCACAGATCATGTCCGAGCGCGTGGGCAGCCGCGTCTTCAGCAACTCCTGCGTGCCAGTGTCGCTCGCCTCACGCTCAGGGGATGGGCAACGGTCCTTTCCGTCCTGCTGGTCAACTCCACGATCCGTCTCATCTGCATGAAGGCAGACAGAGGGGACAAGGATGTTATTTCCTCCCCTCTCTCTTGGGCCCATCTCAGGCAAGCCCAAGTCCCTGCAACTTGACTGGGAAGAGCCATTTCCAGCTGCTGAGTCCAACCTAGGGCCGATGAATTAAGACACACAAAACGTTACTCCCATTCTTTTCCCAGCATGCACCCGAACTCAGGGTGCCAAACACAGGGTCTGGGCTGTCCATCTGCGCGAGCCGGGCGAGGCCCACATCCCTGGTAACCAGACTGAAAACCACCTATTGTCCACGATTACTTCTCACTGAACAATGTAGTTGAAAGTCATGGTGCTTTTCATTGTAACAATAGAATATTGATATGTTTAATTTGTTGTAAAAGAAACAAGTTTATAAACAAAAAATGACTACATGCCATATAAAGGTCACAACCTGAAATCTAGGTATCAATAAAAGAATTATAAAACTAAGCATGACCAGCTGTTTCCAAGGGGTTTTTGGTATTTTTAAAATCACACTACTTGGTTATTAATTTCTTAGGCCACACTGTACAGGCACCCAAGATTTAAGAGCAATTTAAAAGAGGAAAAACCACGTGGGACGAAGTGGCCGAGTGGTGAGGCGATGGACTGCTAGACGAGGAAAAACGTGAAAACACTATACATCCAGTAGTTTCAGTGGTTTCTCGGCCTGCCCTGAGCACATGCCCAACCTCTTGACCAGGCTCTGTATATTCCCAGACATGTCCTTATATTTTGATACTGTTTCATTCTAGGGGTGGGAGAGGGGTGAGTCGGAAGGAAAGAGGGAAGACACAGCTCATGACACAAGAAATGAAAAGGATGCTCTGTCACAACGCTGCCAGCTCCATGTAACACTCCGAGAGCGAAGGAGAGCGAAGCTTGAAGAATGGCAGGAAAAACGACCGGGATCACGGATCCAATAACAACTTACTGAGCAACTGCCATGTGCCAGGCACTGGTTTGGTGTTAAGCCCTAGGGATGCAGTGAAGGGAAGTCTCTGCCCACAGAGCTTCCACTCCAGTCAGCTGTGGAGGGGGCAGAGTTTCTTACGGGCAGCGACCATATTAAGTACATAGAGCGGAAGACAGGTGAGCTGGTTTCAAAGGCAAAGCTGGCTACTGGTCATGCCCTGAAGTATTTAATTTTAGAGCGAAGATTCCGATTTAGAGCAATTCCTCCCTATCCAGATCTAGCGATGTATGCATCTCTGAATATAGGGGGAAATGAGCAGGAATGTCTTTATTTCACTTTACTTTGGGGGTGACACCTCCTAGAGGATCTAGGCCACGCTGAGTGTGTCCCTCATGTCTCAGATCTATTCATCGATAAACATTACTGGCTCTGTCTTTCCAATATCCCCTTATCTGTTTATGGATTACTGCTAGTCTTCATCCATCCATTCACCATTTATCAAGCGCTACCCCGAGTCTATCGGGCAATACTCCGGGCTCAGGAATACAGCAGTGAACAGAGAAGGAAGTTCCTGCCCTCACACCCCCTTTTCTTTTTTTATCCTCACCCGAGGACATTTTTGCATTTTTTTGTTCAGACAGAGCAGGAGGGAGAGAGAGGAAGAGAGAGAGAGAGAAACATCGATGTGAAGGGACACATCGAGTGGTTGCCACCCGCACGACCAACCAGGACCGGGGACAAACTGCAACCGAAGTACGTGCCCTTAGCGGGAACCGAACCCGGGTCTCTCTGTACCGCAGGCCGACGCTCTAACCGCTGAGCCAAATTGGCCAGGGCTTCTTTTTTTTTTTTTTTTTTTTATTATTCTTTTTTTATCCTCACCCGAGGACATTTTTCCATTTTTTGTACAGATAGAGTGGGAGGGAGAGAGAGGAAGAGAGAGAGAGAGAAACATCGATGTGAAAGGGACACATTGAGTGGCTGCCACCCGCATGACCAACCAGGGCCGGGGCCAAACTGCAACCGAGGTACGTGCCCTTAGCGGGAACTAAACCCGGGTCTCTCCGGACCGCAGGCCGACGCTCTAACCGCTGAGCCAAACTGGCCAGGGCCACACCCTTTTCTTAGTGCGGCTTCCTGCCACGGCGATCGTCCTGGAAAAACCCATCACGTGATTTCTTACTGATGCTCCCCAAAGCTCCATACTACTATCGCCGACGCCCCGAATCTCAGCCATGACTAAAGGTTTATGATCAGTTGGCCCCATCTCCTGTGGCCACATCTCACTACATACTTAGATGCTCGGTTTTTCAATCAGACCTGGGCATACTTCTGACTTAGCACGCCATTTTCTAGGGGTGGGGCAGGAGGGGACTTCTTTGCCATCTCACTGTGCTTGTCGTATTACCATCCCCGTCCCCTGAGGGCTCTGTCTGGTACTCCACACCTAGGTAAAGCTTATCCTTCTGGGTCCAGATGAAGCCTCATCCTATCCACAGAATCTCTTCCAACTAAGCTGACCTAAAAGCTTCCTCTCCTTACAGCTTACCTCTTCGTATGCAAGGCGGCTCACTCATTTCTCCCTTGCTCACTTGAGGCCTTTGAACTACTCAAAAATACTTCATGTATGTTCTCCTAGTAATTAGTAGGTGCTTTGGCGAGACCATGTTGTCGCCTGCTTGTGAAAGTGCCTAGGGTAGTCCTAGTCGTGGTATGGGGCCTCAATAAATTACATCCTTTAGTGATGTTAGGAGAGTGAGAACAATATCAATCACTTACATGTGGTGAACGTACAACACATAAAAATAATTATTTGCACCTTGGCCGGTTTGGCTCAGTGGTTAGAGTGTCGGCCGTGGACCAGAGTCGCAGGTTCGATCTCAGTCAAGGGCACGTACCTTGGCTGCGGTTTTTCCCTGGCCCTGACTGGGGTCGTGTGGGAGGCAACCGGTCAATCTGTCCCTCTCACGTCGATGTTTCTCTCTCTCTCCCTCCTACTCTATCTGACAATATATAGAAAAATATCCGTGGGTGAGGATTTAAAAAATGAATAAATAATTATTTGGACAAAGTGACCTTTAAACCAACCTACAAGTCCCTCGAAGGCACTGGAGCTGGCATTTGGTGGTCACCGGATGCCAGGTACTGGGCCAAGCAAGCCGCTCATGTTACTGTTTCATTTCATTGTCACAACAGCCCTACGGGATCGGCCTGAGGTCAGGGGACATTTCATATGCAGGAGACAAAGACAGAGGGACATCGGGTAACTTCTCTAACTTGACCTAAGTAGTCAGTGGAAGGGGCAGAATGTGGGCAGTTAGAGCTTTCATGACTGGTCGCCTCCCAGGGCAGAAGCACGCCCGCTGTCTGCTGGGCCGAGTCACGGAGTCCTGGGCAAAGAGACGGTGTGCGAGAGAACAGGGCGGGCAGCGGCTCCGGGAAGGCAGCCAGGGCACCTGTGTCCCCTCCCACACGGCACACTGACGATGAGGAGAAGCGGGGCCGCATGAATGGCAGGTGGGTGCGAAGAGAGAAAGGACAGGGTGGAAGAGGGGACGAGACACAGAGGAAGTAGAAGAGGAAGGGGATCAAGCGAGAGGGACGGGAGAGGAGACAGAAAATCCTGAACTGGAAGGAGGAACAAGGCAGCGCATCAGGGTTATTGGTCAGCACAGAGAAAAGCAGTCCTGGGAAGAGAAGACACCGAGAGTCCTGAGAGCGGCATGGCGGTGCAGCGCTGGCCGACCTGACAGCACGGGCTGCCCAAGTCCCAGCACACCCCATGCATCGGGAGACACTTACAGAGCAAGAGAGGCGGTGGCAGCAGTGAACAGAAGGAGGTGCCCAAGGGATCCAATAGCACCTGAGAGGAGCAAACAGCAAAGTGAGGGCTGGGGGTAGGCTGCCCGGAGCCACCACCCAGGCGCTCGTCCTCCAGGGCACTCACCTCCACGGCAGGCCTGGATGAAGAACATTTTCGGCTTGTTCTGCAGGCTCGGGCAGTTGGCATTGTCAAAGAGCCGGAAAACCTCTTGTAGCTGCCAGGAAGAAATAGGGAGACGGGAGGTGAAGTGTCAGCAGGCCCTCCCGAGCCTATGCACACAGCAGCAGCCAGCCCTGCACAGACGGCAGGTCCCGAGACCACGCACCTGCAGCACCTTGCCGTCCACACCATAGACGCCGCCTTCCACGCCGTGAGAGAGGAGGGCCACGATGCAGGAGTCGGTGACTCGGTGGGCCGGCAACTGGGCGAAACTCTGGAGCTTCTCTTGCATGTCCTAGAAGAAATGCACTTTTTAGTGATGTTCACTGTAGTCAGCACCGATGTAAGCCTTTCTGTGGTGTCTGAAACCTTAAAGTATTAGACGATGAAATGTTTTCTGTAGTCAATGGTAAGTGAAGTCAGAGACCCTCTAAGAGGCTAAAAACAGCATGGACTCGTGAGAAATGCATGATTCAGACACAGAATTCTGAATGCAGCAGCACAAAATTCACAGACTAAGACATTCTAAGAACTCCTGGATTAAAGCATGCCACCAATAAAACTAATCAAGAACTAGTGAACTTGACCCATCCCATCACCAACCAGATCTTTCTTTAGAGCAAATGCCCTTGTACATGAATGGAAACCTGCTGAGCATCACCTATGGGGCCACAAGAAAATAAACTGCCCAGTGATAAAGGACTAACAAGACCATGATGCCAGAGAACCGCAGTTCTTCTTTGCTGTTTTCTGTCTGGGGTATTAAGTGCCCGGAGACAGTGAGGCCATCTATATAAAACACCTGCTCAGGGAGGAGCACACGGTCTGGAAGACTCCGTCAGGGCCATGACTACATGCACAGGCTACAGGATCAGACAGACCAAAGTCTGACCCCTGGGTTCAAAACTGGTACCAGCAATTAAGCCCCTTAAGGCTCTAACCCCCGTTCTGTAAGAAAAAGAACTTAGAGCTATGTCTAGCACGCCCTGCAAAGACCCGCCACTGTTGTTATGTGCATGTCTAGTGAAGAGTAACGATACCATTTTTTCAAAAAACCTATTACTGGTCAACCTTGTAGTCCAACGTAAGAATCTTGCTTATCTAGCACTGAGTTGCGATACACGATACCTCTCTGCCTCAGGCATTTGGCCCGTCAACGGATGGTTATACTATCGTATAATTATCTGATACTAATTGTTAAACCTACGTCTCCCTCTGCAACTCTAGATGTCTAGGGTGTCTCTCCTATCTCAGATGAGCAGAGATAACAAGTTATTTTATTATGAATCTGAATGAACTGTGATGACGGCAAATATGCTGTCCAGTCAGATAGTTACCACACACAGCCACCCACAAAAGGCACACACTTGTGTAATAGTTGCAGTGGTTCTCAAAGTGCGGTCCCTCAAACAGCAGTATCAGCATCATCTGGGAACTTGTCAGAGCTGCAGTCTTGGGCCCCAGCCACTGTGTTTTAACAAGCCCTCAGGTGACTCTGATATGCAAAGCTTGTAAACTACCACTATTTGCAGTACAGGTGACACTTTAATAGTGCAGGAGGTTAGGGGCACTGAGCCCACACAGTCAAAACTCCATGTATACTTGTGACTCCCCTAAAACTTAACTAAATCGTCTTTCGGTGTCTGTGGGGACTGGTTCTGGGACACTCTAAGGATACCGACATCCGCAGATGCTAAAGTCCCTTCTGTAAACAGCGCAGAACAAGGCACACAGCTGGCACTCCACACCTTCGGATTCCAGTGGGCTGAAAACACTGTTTTCAATCCGAGGTTGGTTGAATCTGCGGATGTGAAATCTGGGGATACATAATCTGCATGTAAGTGGGCCGTTCAAGGGTCAATGGTACCTCTGTTTGCACATAACTGAGACCTGTAATTATACAACACCTGAAAGTCTGCAACGTAACTGGAAATGGAGAAATTGACTCTGTGGAACAAGTCTATATTTTCTGGGCAAACAGAAGCCAATCGTAATATTGGAAATCTTAAGGTTATAACGGATATCCAAAACTAATTTACTTCAAGACTATATAACCTCAAGAGCACACACAAGTATGAACCCTCCTCTGAAGACGGCTGTCACAGACCTGAACACGCAGTAGCTGAGGTTACGTTTGCTCGTGGCAGGGAATGAAAATGTATGCGCGGCCCTTACTCACAAGCATTTTGAACTCCCCTGGGGTTACTAGGTTAGTAAACAGAGGACAGGAAGCCCAAAGTAAGAACACACACTTCGTAACTGAACTGATATGACTAAACCATTCAATAAATGGGGATTAGTCATTTGGGGGGGATTTCCCCAAAGGCAGCATAGCTTAAAGTGGGATGTGCAGCTTTACTTCTGATAAAATTGCAGATAAAATTACTTCTCCAAAGAGCGGTCTTAACTTGCCTGTGTTTTGGCTAGGGGGTGGGGACACAGGGGAAGAGAATAACCTGTGAACCCTCTGCAATTATACGCAAAATTCTGTGGGTCATTTTCCTGGAATGACCCACGGCTTGTCTCGACATTCTCAAAGCAGCCTGCGACCCAACTGCAAGCTAAAAACCAATACCACACAGTAAAAGAAAATTTGCCACTTAAAACGTATCTCATTTCCTCACATATGAGGAACTGTAATTCTAGAAGCAGGAGCCCGTGAGGGAGACGCAGTGAGAACACTGATGACAGGAAACTGAAAGCCCACGGGCAGGAGACCAGGGAGCTCCAGCCTGGTGCGCGAAGGAGGGTTCTCTGAGACTACATACTGCCTCCAGGTTTAAATGGAATGACCGCTACAGTCACAAAGCTGTAACAGGAGGAAGAGAGACGATCTTCATTTTTCTGGTCTGTTTCTTTGCTCGCCAGCTAATTATAGAGCAAGAGTCGTGTCTCTTGAGAAAGTATTTTGTGTAGATGCCCAGGGCATCCGTTTCTCACCCCCATCGCGACCACCCGATGTCAGCTGAGCTGGGTTTGGCCACTGCCCGAGATGGACTCTGCAACGTCCTCCTCGCGTCCTGAATCTGTGGAGCTGAGGCTGGGCTACGTGGAGGGCTAAGCCCTTTGCTCATTACTCTAATTTCTTCCCCAGAGATCTCATACTCTCATTCAGCATTTTTCCAACGCAATTCATTACCAAATTTACATCTTTGGTCTTGACTTTCTCTGAGGCCCTCAATTCTGCACTTAAGTTTTCCATCTACCTGTCTGCAGTCCTTTGATCACCAAGCACTGAGAGTACAACCGTGCCACTATACCGTTTTCACATATATCCTTCCCCTTCCGGTCCACTACGCGTCTGGGCCCTCGCCATCTCGTACTGGAATTATGATTTTAACTCCAAACTGGATTTCCTGCCACTAGAGACTACTCCACTCTTTACAATGGTGTCTCATTAGTCTTCCTGAATCATCACGTGAATAATGCATCACCCTTCTGTTCGAGAATTAATGATGTTCTAATGTCAAACAAGGACATCCAATTCCTTTGGGAAGATATCCAAGGCCCTGTGTACTCTGGTCCCTTTATCTCCAATCGTATTTTTAGCACTCCTTTGCCCTAGGCATTTGGTTCACCCACCAAGGTCCCTAACATCACACCCATTTCCTGTCCACAGTTTTCCCTGCCTAGGATCCCTCCACCACACCTCTCTTTAGGAAATTCTATCCTTCAAGGCCAGTTCAAGTCTCCATTTATCCTTCAGACCACATCTACCTCTTAACTACTGTAGAAGACACTGACTCTAATCTTGCTTGGGAATATAAGGGACATACTTCCTGTTTTGCTGATGTCAAGACTTCCTCATCTGAGGTCCCTAGAACACAAGGTCCACATTTGTCAATCTCTGGTCCCGAACAGTCTGCCCCATTCTAAGGTACTCAAAATTTGATGCTACTGCAATTAGTTACAGAACAAGGTAACCAGACAATGAGAATCGTAGGTCCTCGAGTCTGCATCAGGTTTAGCACAAGCAGGAATGGTGTTTGTGAAGTGGGCTCACGGGTCAATCCATTCTGACTGTCTCTGAAAACGACAGTATATAGCTGACTTGGTGACTCAGGCTTATATCTTTCACTATCAGGCATGTAAGATCCCTACTGATTAGACACGATTTGGAAAACCAGGACATCATAAATTCCTAGTAAAAAGAACGACCAGGGCAGAACCTTTGAGGAAGCAAAGAAAGCACTTGTTTTGTTAATCCTTTCTAGCAGGACTTCCCCTGTAGGAATGGTGGCTGATGTCCCGGCCCTGTTCCCTCCGTGCCCAGCAGATCTCTCAGGAAAAGTGATGACCTCCTTGAATACCTGATGACTAAAGCAGCTGCTGAGTCATGGCTGGGGGCAAGGGTGCCTTTACCTCTCTGCATGGGCAACCTACTGAGGAAATGGGCCTTACCCAAGTTTGGCAAATACATCCCTTGTCTACAAAAGCAAGACAGTGGAAACAGAAACGGAGACAATGTTGAAGGCAGAACACAGACCCTGACCTCAACAGATCGAAGGGAATCTCCCAGAAACTTCCACTGTACCACTGACATTCCCAAAGGCAAGTTTAGGAAAGTATTACTATTCTGGAATCAAAATGAAGTAGTATTAGTTTACCAATAAGCCATTATCAACTTTCAAACATAAGCAGCCAAAGGTGACCAAGTCGGAAGTGCAGGTGGATAACAGAGGCTAACCCATAACGATAAGGCTATGATCTGCCAGCGTCTAGTCCAGTGTCACCTACCCTAAGATGTCTTGTGGCCACACAACTGATACAAATGAGGAATTTTTCCATATGCTAATTCACTCAACTGCCACAAAATGGTATTTACAAGGGCAATTCCAGCAAACTTCCATTTGTGAGAATTTTATCAGCCAAAGTAATATTTACATCAAGAACTAGATTTCTGTTCTGGTTAACCAAGAAGTAAACGCCCTATGTCCTGTGTAGCGCTGGCTTAGAAATAGCGTTCTGAGTTGGTTGGGTGAATCTCAGTGTCTCCTCACTTCCTGAGTGGCTGGGAATTAATTTGCTGAACATGGGAAAATGAGAACCCAACCATGGACTTTTATCCCTCAGCAGGGAGAGCTACCCTGAGCAGTCAACACTAAAGCAGCTGGCTGACTCTGGTTCTTCTTTATTATCTGCAAGGTGGGAGGCAGAAACGAGCAAGCAGAAAGGTGAGGCCAGCCCAGCAGGCAGAGGAGCAGGAGGGGTTTCTGCCCCAAGTACTGCGTCGGGTACCTGTGTAGTCTGGTTGAGTAGAAGATGGACCTTGTAGCCCAAGAGTTTGAAGAGGGTGACCAGACTGCTGTGGTCCACGTCCCCTCCAGAGCGGAAGTCCAGGTCCTTCTCTCCAGTGAAGTGCACGTTGCTAAGGACCAGTGCGAGGCCTCGAGGCCGAGACTGCAACCGATAGGCCTGGGGAGGGGATGCCAATTAGACCGTGAGCTTCTTGACGACAGAAACGACGCCTTCCCCACTAGGTGGGACATTTCAAGAAAACAAAGACATTATCTTTTTCCGAACCCCCCAGATCAAGACAGGGGCAAAATGCCCACAGGAGCCATCCCATCAGCAAAGACTTTCTGATTAATACACAGGGAGAGAATGTCCACGCAAACTAAGTTCCCATGCCCAGGAAGGGGGTCTCATTGCCCAACTCTTCTCTGTGCCCTTCTGCCCGACTCACCAGCTGGTAGTGCATCTGATAGAACTCAGGAGTGCAAGGCTTCACCTGAAGGCAGTGTGGGCCGTCTCTGTTGTCTAGGGAGTGTTCCACAGTCTCTGTGGCACAGAAAGCCAAGAAACTAGCACACACTCTCTGCATCAATCCCAGCACTTCATAACCTCAGGCACCCTTTGAACTGGGGTTTTAATAATCCCTTGCTCACTCCCCGAACTTGTAAGATCCACGAGGGAGAGACCTGTTTACTTAGCCCGGCTATAGCAGGTGTTCAGCTCACTGAATGACTGAATGTTCTCATCACGAAGCAAGTCAATCAGCAGGCTACTGGCCCATAATGTAGTCTTTCCTCATTCTACAGCAACTCAGCTTCATAGAGGAGACAGGCCAACCATACGCAGGAACACCCTACCTATACAAATTGCTCCAAGGGCCAATTACCACGCAAACATCATCTGTGATGGAAAGAAAATAGGCCTAACCAATACCCCATCTAAACTGCCCTGGTAATCCCACAAATTCACTGAGGAAACTGTTCTCAATATGAATGAAAACAGGTATCATGCCAGGGCAAAGTCAGACACCAGTTAAGAAAAGGGAAGGCAATTTGTGGGACCCATTTCATCCCACTCATTCTCACCTACAGACAGGCGGAGCTTCTTGTGAGGGGGATAGGACTCACACACCGGGAGAGACAGACTCAAGTCGTAGTCATGGCTCAACTGGAAAAAATCAGGAGGCCCGTGCCAGGTCTTAGGGAGATGATCAGTCTCAATAAAACAAAGATCTAGTCTCTCCCACCCTGTCTCAAAAGGTCCTTTCCCACCAAACTAACCCTTCTCAACACGCCACGTATCGAGGGCGCCATACCGGTGGGAGTACGTGCTGAAGACCCGAGAGGGTGGAGAGCAACAGATCCTCCAGGTGGCCCTGCTTGGTCTCCCTCAGGGCCGCACAGAAGGCATCAAAAGCCTGGGGACCCCTTTTGGGCAGCAAGTTGAGAAGTTCCACATTCTGGCTGAAACTGCCCACTTTGGCCTATGATACAAGAATAAAACGTTGAAATCATATTTACTTATCTAACTATAATTTTATTTCTCAAGATGAGCTTCCTAAAAATGTCATCATCCATCTCAAGACTTCCTTGCATAGAAAAACTACATGGGTGAGGTCCTTCACATTATTATACACCTTTTCTGCTCAATGCTCTAGGGTAGAAGGGCTTTTTCAGTCCCTTGGTAGGGCACCGCACCCTTTTCACACTTCGCCATGCTCTGTTCCTACTTCTGTGTACTTGGCATTTCTCTTTCGCCTCTAGATACCTGAATGTGCTCCCTCATTTCCAAGGTGATGATGTCTTTCTCCAGGAGATGTTCTAACAGTTCACTCAGCAACAGCTGTTTGGCCAGCATCACTCGGTTCTTTTTCAGAGCTTCCTGATGGTCAGGGTGCATGCCACACACTTCCAGGGCCCTGCGGAGGAAAGACAGAGAGGAAAGCTGTCAGTACAGACAACAGCGAACAGAAGGGTGGAGCGCAAGAGGTGTGTGTAGGAACAGGACTTACAACAACCAAAATGAGGCACATTTTGTTGAATCTGGTTAAAATCTAAGTATGAAGCAGTCACACACTGAGCATAAGGAAATGATGTATATAATTCTTTGTGGAGTATGCCCCACTGAGAGCATCGTCTGAGACACATGGTCTGTCTTGGGGGGAGGGGAGGGGGCGCTATCTTAACAAAATACTCACAAGCACACATATTCCTGAGAAGGAATATTGCTCTGACAGACCAATCTCAATTAAGAGTTTATTCCAAAAAAACACTTCATATTATTTATCAGGGGTGCTGAAAGTGATATTAGTTTTTTGGTCGATCCTTATCCAAGGATATTGTTCCATTGATTTTTAGGTAGAGTGGGCGGGAGGGAGGGAGAGATGGGGAGAGAGAGACAGACAGACATCAGTCGGTTGCCTCCTGTACGACCCTGACCGGGGCCAAGGATTGAACCTGCAACCCAGGTAACATGCCCTTGACCGGGATTGAAACCCACAACCCTTCGGTCTGTGGGCTGACACTCCAATCGCTGAGCCAAACTGGCCAGGGTGTGATATCAGCTTTTAATGATCCTGGGTGAGGAATAAGTAATTTGATACAATGGCAAAAACTCAAACCAATCGCCAGGTCTAATGGAAAACAAATGAGACAGACACACAGACAAACACTATCTAGCCTACTTATACCAATTATAACTATAGCTTTTCAACTTTAAGTTCCTGTGACAAAATGACACTAGAAATGATCAGAATCCTGTAAAAACTGGGTAAGTAGAAAGTATGACAGGAAGTCACAGTGGATAAATACCAGTGATGGACACAATCACCACAATTTGAAAATCACTTAGCGTTAAAGCACAGCCCTGGCCAGTTTGGTTCAGTGGTTAGAGCGTCAGCCTGGGAACCAAAAGGTCATGGTTTCAATTTTGGTCAAGGGCATGTACCTCAGTTGTGGTTGGATCTCCGGCCCTGGTTGGGATCTTGTGGGAGGCAACCAATCGATGTCTCTCTCTCACATCAATGTTTCTCTTTCTCTCTCTCCCTCTCTATCTGAAAATCAATGGAAAAGTATTCTCTGGTGAGGATTAAAAAAAAGAGAGAGAGTTAAAGGACACAAAGTAATCAAGTTTACTAGGGCTACCTTATCTCAAGGTTTCCTTCATTTTGCTATAGGCTTGGAAAGAGCTCAGTTTGTTTATGAACGAAGAATCCCGTTTCAATGTATATCATCCCTGTGCCTACTTTATATGGATCTAGAGCTCGCCAGCCTGCTTAGTCTGTTTCCAAACATATGAAAACAGTAAGGGCCTGATGGCAGGGATATGGTAATGGCTTCAGTTTATAACTTAAAACCCTATTTAAAGATCCGCCCTGAATTAAAGATGTTACAATGTGTATCTTAGAATGAGTGAAATATCATGCATTTATAGGATGTGTCTGGCTTAACGCTAGGCTAGAGAATTATAGTTAGAGAGGAAAGCATGGTCTAGGAACCGCTGACAGAGATCCAAGAAGACAGCACATGGGATCCCAAGACGGAGAAAGTGGTCAGGAAAACATTCCCAGGGTTGGAAGCAGCCAACTTAGGTTACAGTTTGGTTTTGGAACAGCTATTGTTTTAAATCCCATTTTAACTTCCTGTTTCTTGAAATACTCCTGTTACCTCAAACTTTCAGTAAAACCTGCTATGAAAACACAACCTAGAGAAATCTAAAACTCCATTTAGGAATCACCTTAGCACACACCAAAGCAGTTACAATGATGATATGTATAAACTCTGTAAAAATATGTGAAAATCAGGCCAACCACAAGATAACATCACATACAACTGGAGGCTGACTACTTCTTTAGGACACATACCAATGGCAGAGCAGGTTTACCCAGGTCTCCTCCCTTAATTTACTAGTAGCATTTTCTTCTTAAAACTTTCTCCTCCCACGCTGGTCGGTTTGGCTCAGTGGTTAGACTGTCACGGGTTCAATTCCAGTCAAGGGCACGTACCTTGGTTGCAGTCTGTCCCCGGCCCTGGTCAGAGTTGTGCAGGAGGCAGCCGATCAATGTGTCTCTCTCACATCAATGTCTCTCTCTCTCTCCCTCCTACTTTATCTGAACATAGAAGGAAAAACATCCTCAGGTGAGAATTAACAAAAGAAAACTTTCTCCCCCCTGTAGGTAGGCTGTCAGTCTGCCCCAGGAGCCACAGAGTTAAGTGATCATACTTGTTTTGATTTGCAAAGACCGCAGTTTTCTTGTCCGGTCCCTTGATTAAAGGGTACCCTTTGGCGGGCCTTTGGATGTTAAGAGATGTTTCCTAGAATAAAATCTAAGAACTAATTTTAAACTTAAAACATTCCACTTTTGCCCTGGCCAGTTTGGCTCAGTGGTTAGAGCGTCGGCTGGCAGACCAAAGAGTCTTGGGTTCGATTACAGTCAAGGGAGTGTATCTAGGTTGCAGTTCCATCCCCGGCCCCTGTCGAGGTTATGCGGGAGGCAACCAATTGATGTATCTCTCTCATGTCGATATTTGTTTCTCTCTCTCTCTGGAGATAAATGGAAAAATATCCTCGGGCGAGGATTAAAAAAAACACACAACACATTCCACTTTTTTGTAATCTGTTCTAAATTGTTTTATGTACAGAAAATGCAGCTGTAATCTAGTTTTAAGAAAAACCAATACTTTCTTTTAGTTCAATTGCACTCCCCTTATTACTGTAGAAGACTGCTTAATGTTTAGTTTGTTGCAACAGTCATTTTCTTGGGAGAAAGTCTGAGTGTAAAGCCATTTGTAACAGGCTTTGCCATACTCATTTTAATATGTGCCTGTTGCTGTTAACTTTTGATGAATAAAAACCTAAAACAAAACAAAAAAAAACAAAGTTTCCCCATCCCTTGGGTCCCCTGACACCATTTTCTCCAGATCCTCCCTCTGCCCCCTATATTCCTAGTTCCTCCAGATGACCTTAGGCCTGCCTTAAATGTTGGTATCTATTAATACCCCACCAAAGAACCTGTCCCTAGTGTGTCTCATCCATACTCACAATTCATTAATTGACTCCCAGTTTTAATTCTTTCAAGTTCCCCACTTGAATTTTCAATCAGGAACCCCTTGGGTTTAATCTGAAGCATCATCTGTTCACACACCTGCTCCTTTCTGTACTCCACATTATGCAGAGAATCTCAAAGGTGGACTTTTAAGAGAAACCACCATCACCTAGAACTTCAGAACACATCTGGAAGGGGAGGAAGCGGTAGAGAAAAGGACACAAAGGGAGCTCTTGAGTCTTGATTCTGTGTGCTCCTGCAGGTTTCTGTTCCCAATCTTCTGGGTCTGGACCAGGAGGCATTTCAATGTTGTCCTGGGTGATGTCTGCCTTGTATGCCACAACTGGGGCACAGGCAGAGACACACCGGGAGCCTTTCCCAGTACACACCGCAAAGCCTGTGCTGACTGCTTTGAAAATCTGGTCACTACACCCAAAGCAATACCACTCATGATATAGTCAAGCCAATTTAAGTGCACATTAGGCAGGATTCCGAGGTCTGCAGGTCTCATCGCTTAAGGGGACAGAGTACAATTCCTCCGAGGGGAAGCAGGGGAAAGAAAGAGTCTCTGAAAGATTTAAAGATGGAGAATCTTTAAGAGAAGCCGAGATTTGGCAGGGCTGGAAAGAGCTCCCCTTATTCAAAGTCCCCCTGGGCTGGACGAATCGAAGCTGGGCAGGGAGGGACAAGGTCAAGAAGGGGCCCGCGCGCCCCTGGGTGGGGGGCAGAACCCGGCTTCCCATTCGTGGCAGGAAGTCAGCACAAGGCTGCTTATAGGGGGTCCAAGGTGGGGGGAGAAGCCAGGGCCACACGCGTGGGACCCGCGATCCCCTTCCATGGGCCCTATAAAGACCCGTGGGGTCTTCCCTCACTCACCTGCGTCTTCTGTCCGCGGTCATTAGCCCCTTCACGGGGAGGGCGGGCCGGGAGCCGGCGATCGGTGTCGCCATTTCTCGCTTTTCCCGGGCTGTGCTCGCACCGCCCACAACCCAAACAAACCGAAAGCCTCCGCGTCCTCTGCATCCCTCCCCCGTCTGGCGGCCCGCAACGCGCCTGCGCCCTCTCTCAGCACCACCCCTCGGTGAGCCCGCCCCGCCCCGCCCATCGCCGAGGCGTGCGCAAGCGCAGAGCCTCGTGGTGGACGCGTCGTCCAATGGAAGGAGCGCGCGCTCGGCGGAAAGGGAAGAGGCGGGGACAGAGCGAGGAGCCGCTCTGCCGCATGCTGGAATGCGATTGGCCGTGGGTTCCCGCGGAAATTATGGCTCCCTCCCCCGCACCTCCCACTCCGCCTCCCTGGCCTATTGCAAGAACTCGAGGGAGACGGGTGTGGCCGGGATTTTTCCTTTATTGCAAAAGGGAAGGAGGTGGAGAACACTAGAAGGCGCCAGAGAGGTACCTGCTCAGTGACTGGAGGCCTGAGTGGCGGGCGCATCTCAGAGGAGGGTAGGTGTAAAACCTACACCAAGGCCGCCGCACGTGATAGCAGCCGATCTGGTGCTTGCTGAGATCTAAGGAAGCAGGGCCGGGGGCGGGGGGTGAAGCCGAAACAGTTAGACTGTGCAGATGATTCCAGGCCTCACTCTGGATGACCCAGGGGTAGAAGCCCGCGCTTTATCCCTGCTGACCCACCTAACCACCCCATTCTCAAAATGGGGAGACCCTAACCGTGGAGCAGTTCTACTCCACTGCTTCCCGATTGGATGGGGACCCTTCACTGGGCACTGCTCTCTAGCCCTTGGCCCGGAACTGCTTCCCACATGGAGCAGGGGCCATCACAGGTTTGATTAGCTTTGCGCCTCTAGGAGGCTTTGCACACTCCTGGCCACACTCAGCCTCCCCCCTCTGCAGACGCAACTAATGGGTCCCCCATGCTGTCCACACGACGTCTTCCACCCCTCACCAGCAGTTGTCCAAAACAGATGGACAGATGTGCAGATAGCCTGATTACCTTGTTTTGAGAACATAATAGGCTTTGGGATCTGAAGAGCAGAATTCAGGTTATTTTTATGCTATTTACTAGCACTGTGGCCCTGTGCAAATAATCAAACTTCTCTGATCCTTGCACTCCTCATTTTTTCAAATGAGGGTAATGATACCTCACGGAGCTGGGAAGCCTAAGTGTCTAATAGAGGCAAAGCCCCTGGAACGGAAGCAACGTAACTGTCACTCAGGTGTTTCTCTTCTTCCTTCTCCAGATTCTCTGGATCACTGCCTCTTTCACCCTCAGTCTAACTCCGAAAGTGGCAGATATGGGTTAGGTTTCTGAATGTTGCCTGAAAATTTAAATTGTGCCCTCTACATCTCAACTGGGAAGGGCTTACCTTAGCCTGACTCTCCTCTGGGTTAAAGTCCCCCTTTTTGATGTCCAGTTCCTGATGAGGAGCAGGCACTGGGAAATGTGGTCAAATGAATGAGTGGGATGGTGCAGAGAGATGGTATACGCTGGGAAAGTCTGTTAGGGGGGTGTCCAGTTGTCTTCATAAAAAACATTATCATCAGGGTGACCAAAGCTGATATCATAGTCGGGGGGTGGAGTAAGAGGCTCCGGTTTGGGGAGCGACTCCAATTTGGGGGGCGTGCCCAAGCTCTGCAGATCAGGAGCTGTGGACACGACTCGTGGTCCCCGAAGCCGAAGGCTGATTGGAGCTCTTCCAGGGCTTCCTGGGGTCATAGACTCCTCTGAACCCACTCGCCTTTCCACTCTGGCTCTCCTGGGCCCCTCTGGATGGCCAGGCTGTCCCTCTGTAAGTCCTGGGGGGATTACAACACTGCTGTAGGGAGGTGGTTGATCCGACTCTGGGGGGCGGCACTGTGATTCCAACACCACAGCCTCTTCATAGGTTGGCACCTCAAAGGCTTCATTGTCCCTGAAGGAGAAATGAGGTCATAGGTGGCTTAGTGAAAGGAGCCCTTTTCCCTTTCCTATCTACCAACAGTAGACCCCTCCATATGCCTCTGTCCCCTCCTCTCACTGACACCAGTGACAGAAGTGGAAAGCAGAGCCCGTATGACTGGGAGACTAGACAGACACAGAGAATGGTTACAGTGCAGTGATTTTCAACCAGTGTGCCGCAAGAATTTTTAAAACATGCAACACCTGTCTAGTCGGGGGCACTGACCTCTTTTCCCTTAGAGGGTCAAATTAAAAAATGACAACAGCCAACACAATAGGCAGCTGTCCGGTGTGAATGAATCAAAATTGGTGTTCCAGAGAATTTTAGTAAGTAGTTTATGTGTGCCATGAGATGAAAAAGGTGGAGAATCGCTGCTACAGTGTATTCCTTCAGTCCTGCCCACCCCTTGACTCACCGAGCATTGCCTGAGGCCCCTGGGCTCTCCGGCTGCACTGATCGGAACACCCATTCCAGAAAACAGGCCAGGAGGCAGGCAAACAAGAAGAAGCCACCCAAGGTCAGAAAAATATAAGCAGCAGGGTTGATGTCCGGCCAGATGCCCAGGAAAGCCAGCCCCAGGAAGAAGGAGATGCAGCACAGGTAGAGAAATGGCTTCTCCAGTCTCCCCCACAACTGTCTTGGCACCATGGCCCCTCCCCAGGCTCCTGCAAAAAGACACACAGTTGTTGTGTCTAAACCAGCAACTGGCATCATGGCTGGGTCAGATTCCAAATTAACCATATCAGACCTCTTTTTGGGGTTTCAAGTTCTTCAATCTCGAATCAAATAATGGCTAAAATAAATGATAAGCAGTGTCCTCTCCAGTTCTGTCATTCTCTGTAGGGTCACAGAGTTGTCCCAGGGTATAAGGACGTGTGGAATAAGCCAGGAAACCTGCCCAAGAGTTCTGACTTCCAGCTATCATTCCAGTTTACTGTGTTACAGCCTTGCCTGCCTTCCCTTTTCCTTATTCCCTGGGTTCTCCATCAGGATCGGGCTCTGGGTGGGCCCTGAGGCCTTGGGGTTCACTGGCATCTCTGGAATCCAGGTGGTGGGGCAGGCCCTGCCCTTTTTTTGTTAATTGCTTGAACTGGACCTCCACCCATCAGCTTCTCAGTGAGAGGCCCTCAGTAAGACCCTGTCTGGATGAGGTTGGGGAGGGAACACCTCTTACCCCTTGTCTGACCCCACCATTTCCTCCACTCAGGCCATTTTCTAGTTGGAGGGAGAAAATACAGACACAACATAGCCACAGGGCCACCGCTATGTGAGAAAATCTTGCAAAGGCCTAGGGCCATGGACAGAAGCCAGATAACCCCTGACCTCTCTACACCCCACATCCGCCAGGTTCCTCCGCTCTCTACCGGCTCTAACCCAGTAAACTCAGATTTCTAGTTTCCTGCCTGGAGTTAACAGGGGCTGGGAGGTTGGTGGGGAGAACAAGTTTCTCCTTGCAACATAGCAGCAATGCACAGGCAGCCATATCCCAAATCCAGCCTGCCAGGAGTTCCTTGAACTCGACACAGCAAGGACTCACAGACTCTACAAAAGGGCCAGACCCCCTCCTTATACCCCAGCCCCAATCCCATACCCTGGCGCCACAACAACCTTAGGAGTTCCCACCTCACCTGTCTCGACCAGACTCCAAAGAAAGTAGGTTGTGGGAGAAGGGGGAGGCGGGGCGGAGGTGGAGCCCACTGTCCCCACCCTCTTTTCTGCCCCAGTCCCTCCGTTCCTGCCCAGGCTTCATTTTCCCCTTTTCTTCTTAGGGCTGGCCTCCTAGGGCCCCACCTTGATTTCGCCTCACTCCATCCACCCCCCACCCATTCAGTGTCTTAATGAGAGTGGTCCCCACCCTGTGATCTTTGTACTTAGGACCAGAGTTAAATTTACCTGTCCTTGTCCCTTCTCCATGCACATTGTCTTCAGAGCAGTTTGCCTTATATTTAGAGAATATATATTGTGCCTGGGAGCAGAGGTCCTGGTTGTTTACTCTCCGTGGACTGGGAGCACTGCTGGGGGCCTGGGTGGTGTTCTGCTTCCACTGCCACGGCTCCTTTTCTATGAACTGCTTGTTTTCTGCAGACCTGTAAGACCAGTTTGTGTGTATGCTTCCTGGCACGGTTAACTCTTGATTCTTCAAAAGCCACCTCTGAGGTGCTGCTTGCCATGGAGGCTGTCTCCACTGTGTGACCACAGCATTCCTTCCTACCCCTGTCCCAGCCGTGACCTGTTTATACAGCAACTTTCTGTTTACACACCTTTCTTCCATTGTGAGCTTCTCCAGGTGAATGATTTGTTTTAGTCACCTCTGAATCCCAGCAACTAACTCGGGTGCTCACTAAGCATGGCTGAATGCTTTGCGTTTGGCCTGGTCTCACCACCCACTGGTTCCCCACCTGGAGTGGGACCCACTCTTTCAGTTATGGGTCAGGCAGTAAATCTGAGTGAGGCACATTTGGGGAGGTGCAGAGTGGCTGGGACAAGGCTAGACACCATGCCTTCAGAGAGTTACCATGGACACATGGAAGGGAGTAGCAGGTAACAGGGCACAAGTCTAATCCCAAGGACAGTCATGGGCCACAACCAGGGCTGTTGCAGTAGACAATATGTGAGTGTGTGTGTGTGTGTGTGTGTGTGTGTGTGTGAGAGAGAGAGAGAGAGAGGAGAAGGAGGAAGAGGAGGAGGAGGAAGAAGGGGCGTGTCCCTGGAGTGGTATGCCTGTGTGTATAGTGGTGGGATGCCAATGATGCTGAGTCTCTGTCCCAGACTGACAGAGCAGAGAGGGAGGGGATGTAACAGGAAGGCTGTGGGTGTGGTGTGTAAATGAGGTGTGTCTCTTTCAGAAGTGGGAAGGGAAAGTGGGAGGAGAGCTAGTTGTTATTTTGATTCCACCAATTTCCTTACTATTCCGCTCAAATGGGAAAAGTGTGGCAGGGGTCAGAAGAATTTCAATGTGCAGTTAATATACTAACAGAAGGAGATTGGCCAACAGTCATTGGTACATACAGTAAATGTAGATGTGAAACTGTCTAAACCTATAGATAATTTTTATGAGCTTATTTGAGCCAAAACTGATGACAGTTGCTGAGAAGCAAGATCTAAAATGCTCTGAAGAGGCCAGCATAATGCTAATTCCAAAACCAGATAAAGACACTACGAGAAAGAAAACTACAGGCCAATATCCCTGAATGAACACAGATGCCAAAATCCTTAACAAAATATTAGCAAATCAGATCCAGCAATACATCAAAAAAATTATTCATCCCAGGCATGCAAGGATGGTACAATATTTGCAAATCAATGTGATACACCACATAAACAAAATGAAAGATAAAAACCATATGATCATATCAATAGATGCTGAAAAAGCATTCGACAAAATCCAGCACCCATTTTTTGATCAAAACACTCAGCAATGTGGGAATAGAGGGATCATATCTCAACATAATAAAGGCCATATATGAAAAACCTACAGCCAACATCATACTCAATGGGCAAAAACTAAAAGCATTCCCCTTGAGAACGGGAACAAGATAGGGATGCCCACTTTTGCCACTTTTATTTAACATAGTACTGGAGGTCTTAGCCACAGCGATTAGACATGAAGAAAAAATAAAGGGGATCCAAATTGGAAAGGAGGAAGTGAAACTCATTATTTACAGATGACATGATATTGTACATAGAAAACCCTAAAGACTCCACCAAAAATCTACTAGACTTAATAAATGAATTTGGCAAAGTAGCAGGATACAAAATTAACATCAAGAAATCTATGGCATTCTTATACACCAATGATGAAATCACAGAAAGAGAAACCAAAAAGAAAATCCCATTTATCATCACAACAAAAAAATTAAGATACCTAGGAATAAACTTAGCCAAAGAAGTAAAGGACCTCTTCACAGAAGACTACAGGTCATTGAAAAAAGAAATAGCGGAAGATATAAAAAAGTGGAAGCATATACCTTGTTCATGGATTGGAAGAATTAACATCATTAAAATGTCCATACTACCCAAAGCAATCTATAGATTCAATGCAATCCCCATCAAAATACCAACGACATACTTCACAGAACTAGAAAAAACACTTCAAAAGTTCATATGAAACCAAAAACAGACCCCGAATAGCCACAGCAATCTTGAAAAAGAAGGACAAAGTAGGAGGGATCACATTACCAGATTTCGGGTTATACTACAAAGCCACTGTAATCAAAACAGCCTGGTACTGGCACAAGAACAGGCAGATAGATCAGTGGAACAGAATAGAGAACCCAGAAATGGATCCAAGACAATATGCTCAATTAATATTTGACAAAAGTGGCAAGAGCATACAGTGGAGTCAAGACAGTCTCTTCAATAAATGGTGTTGGGAAAATTGTACAGCTACTTGCAAAAAAATGAAGCTAGAACATCAACTTATACCATACACAAGAATAAACACAAAATGGATAAAAGACTTAAATGAGACTCATGAATTCATAAAAATTCTAGAAGAAAATGTAGGCAACAAAATCTCAGACATCATACGCAGCAGAATTTTCACTGATACATCACCTAAGGCAGCAGAAACAAAGGAGAAAATGAACACATAGGACTACATCAAACTTAAAAGTTTATGCACAGCAAAAGAAACAACCATCAAAATGGAAAGGAATTTCACTATATGGGAGGCCATAATCGCCAATGATGCATCAGATAAGGGGTTCATTTCCAAAATTATATCTCGAGTGCTCATACAACTCAACAAAAGGACGACAAAGAACCCAATTAAAAAATGAGCAGAGGACCTAAATAGACACCTCTCCAAAAAGGACATACAAATGGCCAAGAGACATATGAAGACATGCTCAACATCACTAATCATCAGTGAGATGCAAATCAAACAATTCTGAGGTACCACCTCACACCTGTCAGAATGGCCACCATCAACAAATCATTAAACAACAAGTGTTGGCGAGGGGAAAAGGGGACTCTAGTACACTGCTGGTGGTAATGCAGACTGGTGCAGTCACTGTGGAAAACACTGTGGTGTTACCTCAAAAAGTTAAAAATTGAACTGCCATTTGACCCAGTGATCCCACTTTTAGGAATATAACCTAAGAAACCTGAAACATCAATCAGAAAGAATATATGTACCCCTATGTTTATAGCAGCACTATTTATAATAGCTAAGATCTGGAAACAACCCAAGTGTTCATAAGTAGATGAGTGGATTAAAAAGCTTTGGTACATGTACACAATGGAATACTATGCAGCTGTAAGAAAGCAAGATCTCTTATCCTTTGAGATGGCATGGAAGGACCTGGAGAGTATTATGCTAAACGAAAGAAGCCAAGCAGAGAAAGACAAATATCACATGATCTCACTTATTTGTGGAATATAATGAACTAAACAAACTGATGAACAAAGTTAACCCAGAGACATAGAGGTGGGGCACAGACTGATAAGCCTCAGAGAAGGGGGAGTTGGGGGAAGAGATAAACCACAGAACTTACATGCATGTATGCATGACCAATGAACATAGACAACAAAGCTGGGGATGGGGCGGGGGGAGGAACGTGTCAGTGGGGGAAAAATGAGAAACATCTGTAACAAAAACAAATTAATAAATAAAAAAATCAAAATAAATAAAATGCTCTGAAGAATGACAGTTTTGCAAT